ACACACACACACACACACACAGAGTCGAGGCTATATTTGTCTCCATCAGTGCAGGATTGGTGGGATCTGGCCCCTAGGGGCGCAGCACCACACTGACTGATTGGCAACTTCAGCTGTCTGTCGGCACAGGGGCACAGTGGAGTGGCTCTCCTGCGTCCTGCTGAGTTCATATATGGACAGAAATAGCACTGACCAGCACTGTAGGCTGTAAGACTCAGGCTCCCAAACGCAGGCCCTCGGACCCTTTAAAGGCCCGTAGATTAGGATCCCATGTAGACAAAACAGGGATATGCTTTATTTCATTTGGTTGTTTGTAAAATTGGGAATATAAATTCAGACAAAATAAAATGAGACAACATATGTTTAACTGCACAATATTCCATTCTGTTGATGTAATTTATGCTTACATAAATTCGATTTTCGTGCACAAATGTTCTGTAACATATGCTCATAGAGGAGGAGACCAGGATGGCAGTTGCTCACTTAACTGGGGTTTCATATAACAGACCCATTACTGGGAACCACAGGTAAACCAGTTCAGAGAATTGCTCACATTCCCAGACCAATCAACAGTGTGCATAGTGACTATGCTAAATGCACTCTCCTGATTGGCCGAGAGCAAATGAGCTTGACAGGACCACAGGACAGGGTATCAATAATAATAATAATAGAACAGGGTCACTATTGATAAGAACTTAAGTATAATTTTCCATCCAAGTTGGTTTGGAGAAATAAACAGTGTATGAAGATGGTTGTGGCATCTCCACATCCTCCCACTCTACAGAAATCAAGCTAAAATATCCTGAATATGAACACTGCCATTTAACACAGTCAGTCTTTGTTTGATGAGTACTTTGACTCTTTACTTCCCCGGGTGCTATCAGTAGTTGCTCCATGTGGTCACTGCTCACACAGGAAAGGCAGCAACTTAATTTCCCCCCACGTTGCATGTAGTTGTGTGCTGTGTGTTGCATGATTTGTGGGGTAAATAAAGGAATCTTAATTTCACTTCTGTCCATGCCCAATCCACTAAAATATGAGATGTCAGATTTAAGACCTATACTGCAGCCAGCCACCAGGTGGTGAACAGCAAGAGACTGCTTCACTCAAAAAGATGGAAAAAAGGAATGCTTTCAGTTTTCAGGTTGATATGAAGAACCGCCTTAAGTTTAGTCTAACTTAATTTTAGTATTATTTTTATGTATTTTTAAGGACTAAAGATAAAAGTTTTTGAAAAGTGTTACCAGTTTTTTTCATGAAGGGCTTTTATGAGCAGAATTCTCGTTGATCCTTTAGCTTAAATTCTCCAAATATCTGCACCTGCTTCTTGTTATTTCTGACACTATAACATCAGGTAAAGGAATACCTATTTTCTGCAAGGCTAATGCTTTTGTTTTCCTGTTCCTATTTTTCTCAGATTGGAAATGCATGTAAAAGTGAAGTATATGTGAGGCCTCTGTCTTCACTCTCAGGAGGGATTGTGGCAGTGAGCCACAGCACCAACACCTCCAGATGTTCCTCTCTCTCCAGACTTGCTGTGGCTCAATACTCACACAAGACCAGGATGACTCAATGACGCCAGAGGCAGAGTCATCAGACACATGGCAAGAATCAAAGCTATCTGGCAGAGACAAGGGTATTTTATCTAACATGATTTAATATGTGTAGCAGAAATCGTGTTGTTATATATAATGTAAATGTATTGAATCTTATTTATCTTACCTGAAAAAAATGCCAGGGAACTGTTTAAGGTTGAGCCCTGAAGTTGCCTCCGATCAAGCCTCAGCAGGTTTCAAACCTGAGGATCCAGTCAGACAACTTTGTTGCATCAATGAACTGAAGAAGCAGGTGGGGCATCTATAGCAGCAGTTAACTGAGGCCCAGTCCGAGAATACATTCCAGCATCACCACAGAGTGGCACTGCAGCGCTGCCAAGATGCAGAGGACAGTATTCCAGAGGTAAATTATGTTCTTCTGGTGTCTCCCACGCTCAGTCAGAGCAGAATGATTGTCAGATCGTTATGTGCACAGCAAGCTCAGAGACAAAAAACACAGCTTTTGGGTGTTACCCATCCTTAAAAATTGGAATGCTTTTATCTGTGTGCACCTTTACCTACTCCAATTTATAACCCAAATTCCAAAACAAAGTCACTCAAAGCATTTATGTGAGAACAGGTGAATTACCGTATTTGTCACCCATGATTGGCCATTATTGAACCACTGACCATGCTTGAGTTTGATGGGGTAAGTCCTGTTTTGTTGTCACCAGTGACACTGAGAAAACTTAGATTGTTATTAATATTATTTGTAAGCATTTTGCTGGCACATAACCGTTTTTCAAGTTGATGAAGATGCAGGACACTTTACTTACTAATAAAATGTATATTATAGTCATGTTTATGAATATTTATGCATTTAATGTCCTGGTGATGAAACTGGCTAGCAACAGAGTGGCCCAACTTGTGTTTTACAACAATGTATAACACAGATAACACAGACTATTGTGGATACCTCGCCTCAGTGTGAGTGAAGGGCGATTGAAGACATAAGACGGGAGCCTCTTGGTCTGAGAGAAGTCTTACATTGGTTGGTTAAACCTTTAAGGTGCCATAAAAAGCTGAAGTAGTACATAAAGTTTCCTCATTTCAATCCATTACAGTTTTACTTTAAGAAAACTACCCGACATGTTTCTACTGGTCAACTCACAATTTGCAAAGTGACACTGAATGAAAGCTTTTCTTTTGATATTTTTTATTAAAAGGAATTTTAGTATTTCCAGTATTGAAATAATATACACCAAAACATTCTCACAATAAGTTAAAAAAAATAAATCACCATAACACAATTCAACAACACCAAACCAGTATGTTGCAAAATGAGAAGGCCAACACCAAATTTTCACAAGTTCACCTGGAGCAGCAGACAAAAAAATTAACGGAACAAAACATGAGCTTTTAGCAAGTCTCGATCGATATGTTAAGGAAATAAGGTGTTTAATGTTCGATCTCTAGCTGACAGCATAGAGGCCGAGTGTCACTACTTTGTTGCAAACCACCAACCAGCATGTGATTCCCACTCCACCTGAAACGAAAGAACAACTGTCAGTGAACCAATAAACAGACTGTACTATGTGACATGTTTAAGGCCCATTTCCAAGCCCAATAACATCTGGCTTTTGTCTACAATGGGAATGGGTACAATCATCAATCCCTCCCGGGTCAAATGACTCTGCAGAAGACGTGTTTTTATCAGTTCCTCAAGACGGCTAGGTGAGAGTGCACCTCAGTTTTCAGTGAATTTGTGAAGTCACACACTGGGGATAAATACGTGAATCTTTTTTTGCGGCTTTAGAAACATTTAGGTGTCTGAGTTTTGACTGTAACTCAGACAAATTTCCCCAGTGAATAATAAAGTACTTCTTGATTACCTGCCACTCCTGTTGGGAAGGCAACAAGTCGCTCCACAGGTGCAATCCATCGACTGGGGACCACCGTCACTGGATCAGAGTAATACTTCCATATCAGGGAGATCATCAGAGCAGCCTGACAAATTAAAGAGACAAATGTGTTGGGACATCATAAAAAAATATGTATATCACTACGATGCTAGTAATGTAACCTATGTTTTAACAATCTCCACCTACCTGTAGTATATAAAAGACGATGTTCACAACCCATTTCATCTTGGCCTGTTGTGCAGTTCTTGATTTCACTGCAAAAAGGAGTATAAAAGTAACTGTTAGACTCTGCACACTGATTGTTGTGGCAATGTAGCTTTAAATAATTCTGCCCGCAGTACCTGTTATACCTGTTAATCAGAGTGAACAGCAATTTTGATTAATTATCTCCACCATTTTGTTTTTCATCTGCACTTGTTTGTTTGTTTGTTAGTTAGTTAGTTTGCAGGATTAAGCAAAAACTACTCAACCGACTTCCACGAAATCTTGTGGAGGGGTAGGGTATGAACCCAGGTAACACCGAGAGGTGTTTTTCAACATTTTCATTGATTGCTCAGAAAGTAGTTCATAGATCTTGATGAAAAAATATCTGGCAAGTTTAAGGGACTGATTTATGAGCATGCCCTGAGCTAGTAAATTCAAATGTGGTTTCATAAGGGGACTGTTGTCATTAGTGTGTGCCATTCTTATTTATAATGTGAATCACTGATCAGGAGAAAGAGGTAGTTATTCAGAGTTCTAAAACCAGAATAAGACACTTCTTATTGTCCATTTACAATTATTTTCTTCCACCTATTTGGTAATATAGCATGATTACATTACATGGGTGCTATCTAAAAAGGTACATATAAATATATATGAGAAATATTAATAAATTACATGAGGTATATTTTGTTCATTTGGGTTATTTCACCAAAATATTTTTCGTTCCCTCTGATCAACACAATGGTAGAGACAACATGATTCAGCTGTTTGGCACAGAAAATAGTGAGTGGTTGAAAGATATGAAAACATATTGAGTAAAACACAGGCTGTGTAGCTCCTTCAGGGGAGACAGAAAAATATCTATAAAATATGAACATAGAAATGATCTGAAACACCTTTGCACTGCTGTCAATGTGCATCACACTCAAATTCTATACAGCCACTTACTTTCTTCACCCAACCTAATCCTTAGGCTGTGGGTGAAGGACAGTGACAGGCAGCAGCTGTTCACAGTGGACATATAGTAAGTGTATTATCCAAAATCTTCAGCCATTTCCTATGGGTGGTGGTTTTATGTGTAAATCTACTGTAGTAGACATGCACAGGTGTGGGAGATACAACTGTGCAATTTACAGTCACAGTATATCATCATATAGTTTCCCCTGATGAAAAAAAGCTACTGTAGGTGGACTAAGTTACATGGAAAACAAATAAGCAGTCCTGCATCCAGTACTTTTTAAGGGCAGGTCAATGAAACTATATCAATAATTATAGTAAAAATGTTTTTAATATAATACTTTTAATGTTGTGCAAGCACAGGAAAAGATATAGCACATAAATGTTCTGCCTCAGATTTGTAAATTGTTTTGCCATTTATCAAGTATTTGTAATTTAAAACCAAATCTTTTACCCAGGAGCAAACATCTTTCTGTGAACTTAACTAGAGTAATAATGAAGCCTTTTTTGTGATGATTATTAATATTAACTGACATTAGGGGGCATTGGGGCCCTATGGCCAAACCCTACTTATTTCAACCATCTAAACATTTAGCTTGTTCAGGACATTCCTGATAAAATTTTTATTCTTTTAACTCCTAGTAGTTTTAGAAATGTGACTTAATTTAGTATTTAGAAATCAACTGTCTGTGATGTTATTGTTTGTACATTGTTACAAGATGTTCCTCATAATTAAACTCCACTTCAACTTCAGGGCTCCTGCCATGTTCTCCACATTTCCTTTATGTCAGTAACTACTTCTGTTGCTCACCATGTGTTTTCAGCTTGTCTGTCATCTTGTTGATTTTGCGCTCCAGTCTGGCATATCTGGCAAACTCATCCATCATGCTGATGGAGGACTGCTCCTTCTTCATCTCCTGGATCTCAGCCCTCATTTCACTCTCCAGCTCAGCATCTTTCTGCACCATCTTTGTGAGCTTTACAAGGAGAAAGAAATGGGGGAAAGACTGTTACTTAGGGAGCAGGGGGACAGGGTTATCTGCAGTGGGGGCTACAGATTGTCGATGCAGGGGGTTCAGCAACAGTGTTTCTGTTTATTGTGCTAAGCCAGAGCTTTAGCCAACTGTTTTCCATTATGCTAAGCCATCTTTAGCAGCAAAGCTAATACGTAAACACAGTTACACAACGTCACAGTGGATTATTTACTCCTGAACAACCATGTTAAAAAAATGTTTCCCCTTGGGTATTGTTATTAGAAATGGTTCTCGAAAAGAACCCCACCCATGTAGCATCTATTATGTACTGGCTTATTCGGTCAACCAAGCTAATCCACAAGGAGGCTGCGGTCTGAGACGAAGCACAAACACTAACGATGACCATACACTGCTTCCGCCTGTGTTTTTCAGTGAAACGTGTCGCATCTGATATCAGCAACCATTACTTACGAAAGAGGATATGGAGGGCAGGAGAGTTCTCATGAGGTTGCACAGGAACACCGAGCCCAGCACAAGGAACCACGCATACCCGGCCGCCATGTTTGCTCTCCTCCCCCCACCAGCAGCCTCCTTGTCGCAGCTGTGGAGCAGCCACACGGTGCTGTTACATAATAATTAGGCCATTCAGGTTATAACGAAAGCTAATTAAAAAACGTCTTAACAGCACCGGATCGCTCGTATTTATTAGACGGTGTTGATTTGATGTGTTTTGCAAAGATAAGGACATAAAGCACTTAAACAGAATCACAAAGGTTGGTTTCATTCTTGTGCGGCCTTGTTTAATAAACTCCTTCCATGTGGTTTTAGTCTCGTTTCTCGCACACACCCTGTGTTTCCGTGAGTTTGCTGGGCTCAGTGATTGGCACACGCTTCTGCCCACACAGGTATGGTGTTATGGTTCAAAAATATGCTGCCTCGATCCGCCGGCCAATCACCGCCGGCGGGAGGCGGGGCGCAGCTCTTCCCGGTGGATTGGTAGGACGAGGGATAAAATATGCCCGAGTGGGGGATCCAATCAGGGGCGAGCTGGTCCTGGTACTGGTCGGAGGTTTTGTGGGTGAAGTTGCAGACCGCACTGTGGAGGTGTGGGCAGCCAGAGGTGCAGGACAGACCCCCACGAGTTCAAGTGTTTAAAACACAGAAAGGCCGACTTGTTCTCTTTAGTCACTGCCTTAAAACCTAAGCAACAATGGGAAAGAAAAAAGTAAGTTTAAAAATATGTACGCTTATGTGGGATTTCTCTTTAAATGCAGCGTGTGTGATTTAAATCAAACACACGCGGCGACTTTGTATCGTGTCTTTACAATGTTTCTTTCGAAGACTGCATGTGCAATGTAAGGCGTGAATTCCTCGGTAGGATCCATGTGCATGAATGGAGTCCACCTTCACTGTTCTCAGGTCTGTCGTGTCTCACCCTGTTGATACAGGGAAGTGGCGCCTTTTTACTTAGCACGGTGCAGCACGCGTTTTCACCGAGCAACTTTACGCGTAGACATTGTTTCCTCTAACGGAGCCACATCTGTGATCCACTCGTTAAAGCACAAAGCTGCTGGTTTAATAGTGTTTAGTGTTCACCGTGTGCTGAGGCCAAACAAAGGGGTGTATCCACCGACCGTCGATGCGCAGGTTCTCAAGAAAATTTTCTTGCGTAATGGTTATTTGAACGTGTCGCCGCCGGGACAGCGGTTTTTTTTGCACCGTGTTAGACGGTCCGGTCGCCATTGGGGGAGATTTTAATCCGTGTCTTCGCGTGTATTGTAAAAGAAGATCGCTGGTTCACGGTTTTTTTCTTAAGGAGCGCCATGGCAGCTGATTTATCATCGACAAGACAGCGACACATCTGGTCATTGTGATCAACGTGTATAATCGTATCGTCGGGAGAAGTTTAATCGAGTAAAACCCAGAGCTGGTTGGGAACATGCAGCACTTTCACTGTGCTGATGTTTGCGGGCAAGCGCGTGTTGGAGGTGGAGCGAGCACGTTTCCCCCCTTTTCTTCCACTAGCTGCAGGGCCACGATGTCTGCGTGCAACAAAAACATTCGATGACCCATGCTCGTTATAAACTTTTAACTCGCTGAGCCTTTTAATGGATTAAGAGAAACGTGCCAGACCTCCCCCACTCTCACTTTTAAGGTTGCATAATTTCTTTGTGACTTAAGGGGAGGGAGAGGTGCCCATCCCCCCTTTGCACTACACACCCACTTGAGCTCACTCATGGTTGTTGTTCTTTAGCTTACTAATTTTCTTTTCTCCTCTTTTTTTCTCTTGCAGTCCAACGGAAGTACAGAGCTCAAAGAGGTTAGTATTCTTGTCTCTAGACACCCGAACTGCCCCAAAACGGGTGTTGTCGTCCACACAGTGTCCCCATCTGAACATTTTGTTCTTTTGTCTGTCGAGAGAGAAAAGGTTGGATGTGGATGATGCAGGATGGATGTGTGTAAAGTGCAGTCCAGTGTTATTTATGCGAGTCAAAACCTGAAGTACAAAGTATGACTGTGTCCGCCTGTTGGTTTTATTGTGCAGGTTTAAACCTGGTCCAGTATTGGGTTTAAATAAATGCACAGCCTCTAGGGGGCACTATTTGATTTGTTGTGTAAATGGCCCCCATGTCTACTAAGCCTATTTCTAGTGCTCTGACACTGGGTTGATCTACTGTGTGGGGGCACTCAGAAATAATACTCACCAGAATTTACTTTGGGAATTTGACCACATTTTGATATGAATAACGTAATTTTTTTCAGAATTTCCAACAGCCCCCAAGTGAATTAACAATTAATCAGCTTCAGGACTTTATTGAGAATAGTTTTTCTAGTCCCAATACAAACTGAAATAAATTCAGTCAGACAAATTACGTCGAGTAAAATTTGTGTCATTGTTTATTGTGTTGAAAAGTGTGTTTATATATTATATGTACTTTCAAGTGAGTCACCTTGCATCTTGTATATTTCTCCTTAGCCACTGAGGAAGTCTAAGAGGTTGTCAGTGGGTTCCACACAGTCGAGTACACCAGAGCCAGAAAAGGCAAAGGTAAAACAAGTTTTTTTTCTTCATTGCACAAGAGCACTGCATTCAATTAAATACAGTTTTATTCTCTATTTATATTCGACAGTGCATTTCATGCTGTTTGATTTTGACCCTGTAGGCACCACCCAAGACTAGAAAGGCACCAGCAAAGCCGAAGCCAAAGCCAGAGGAGAAGAAGAAAGAAGAACCTCAGGAAGAGAAAGAAGATGCCCCAGCAGAGAACGGAGAAGCCAACGAGGTATGAATTTGCCTTTTTTAATGACTCCTGTCTCCTAAAATTGACTCCTTATTTGCATGGTTCCATGAGAGTAAGGTGATAAAGAATGTTTTCTCCATCCTCCAGGAGGCGGCAGCAGCAGTAGCAGCAGAGGAGGCAGAGGAAAAGGAGGACAAGACTGAGGGGGCAGAAGAGGAAGAAGAAGAAGAGGAGGAGGAGGAGAAAGCAGCAGCAGCAGAGTAGTGACAAAAATACTCAGTTGCAAACGTTCCCCATTCCTCTTTTCTTGTACAATGCAGAGAATATTTTTATCTATTTTCTTAAGACAGCAGTGTTTTTAGGGATGTGATTGCAAAAGTGCTTTTTAAAGAATACTACAAATTCCATTCAGTTACATGGCTTCTGTGAAGGGAAAGTTTGTGGGGTCTCTTTCATTGTACTTGTGTTTTCTTTGACTTTTTATTTTGCCTTTAGGTTGTAGTTTTCTGCATGACCTGCCGTCGTGTCTTATCAAGTCAATTTGATGTTCGACTTAAGAGTTTACCTGAGACATTCCCGCGTCGTCTTGAGGGATTTTGTCACCCGTACTGCTTTGGAGTTTAATACATCCTAATGCTATGTGTTTGATAGGAACTGAGATGATTAAAAGTCTGACAGTTGTGTTCTAAGCTAAGTAACATCTTCACAATGTTAACTTGAATTATTTTCACTAGTACTGGCATTGGCCACGTTGATTTTCTTTTTCTATGTCTAATGCAGTCTGTGATGGTACACTTTTGAGGACAGATAAATTGATCCACATTCTGTTAATCATATGTGCTGTTTTTGTCCTTTCATTATAATTGTATTTTCACCTCAGCCTAAAAAAATGTATTTGACGCAAATTTGTGGATATGTTCAATGTGGTTTTTGGGATTTCTCTACTAATGTACAGTTTCCTCCTTTTTAAAAAAAAAAAACAATAAAATGATTTTTTTTCTTTAGTGGGTTTGAAATGCCATTTAATTTGGGAGATAATATAACTGCTGTATTCCATATTCATATCTATTCCCTCATGTACATAGTGAGTAAAACCTTAAATTAGTTATCTATCTCAGTTGAATGCAACTAGTTGACAAGCACAATTAGATTGCTTGATCAAATTTGATGATTTTGGGGTAAAATATTTATGAAGGATGATGGAACTATAATGCATAAATGATCTGGTGTTAAAATATGTGGCACATTAAACCATGTAGAAATATGGTTGTATTGTGCGTACGGGGCATTTGGATGGAGAAATGGTAGCTGAAATAATCAAAGTCTTCATACACATGGTCAAATAGTATGCAAGGAAAACTTTGTTTTTAATCACCCCATTCAATTTTATTATGAGTGTCCCAAACACCCATGGACAGATTAACTTGTTTGGGGACCACAGTGCTAAATTTACTCTTGGAATCCTGTTGCCTCCAATGTTCCATCAAGTGTATAGCATTTCAAATACTATGCTACTACTATAGATTACAAATAGAAAACAAGACTGAAACGAAATGAATTTTAACCATGTGGCAAACTGTTCCCATGACGAGAGATCAATGCGTGTTGAGCTGTTTTAGTGTAATAAACCTACCAGATGAATAATAGCCTTTACATAAAAATATAACAACATTTTTATGTTCAGGCTTTGAAAATTTTTATATATGAGTAATTCATTTTTTGCCAGATGACTTTAAACATAATTGTTAGTCCTCATTTAGTCATACTTGTTCAATTTAGGATTGCACTATTAATCATAGCCTCTATATTTTTTTACTTAAATAGACAGTTTCATTTCCCCCGCACCTATGATGAACAGTGCTTAAAAAAAGCAATGGCTGAAATTACATACACATTTTTTATTTAAATTTAAGCAGTTCAAGTCTGAAAAGTAACCTTAAATGCCACAATGATGAAATAAAAAAGTAAAAAAATAGTGTTGATTTAATAGAAAACAGACACATGTTAACAAATCAAGACTTGAAAGCTGATGCAAAGAATTCCCACAGGTATAAAGGCAGCACTGGAACAGACTGTGCTACTACACCCACTGAAGCCATGTTTTGAATATTGCAATGTAAGAAGTAGTACTGTACATGACAGATGGAGGACCAGCACAGTCTCTGAACCTAAACCCTGTCAAACTGGTTGGAGATGAAGAGAACAGGAGGTGAAAGCAAAATGGAACTTTTTATTTCAAAGTTGAAGAAAAACAACTTTTCTAATTTAAATTCTATTGAAGAAAGAACGTCACGAGTTTGTTCAGTTGATGAATGAGTCAAAGTCATAAATTAGATTTATATTCAGGATCACTGAGACATGTAACTACACCTGGAACAAAAATGAATGCGTTCTGTAACTTCTGGTGCATATGATTACATAAATATTATATTAAATATAGATAATATCTATCTATCTATCATATAGTTATAATTTAAGCATAATTTGAATATAATAATATATATAATTGTCATTATGATGATTATTATTCACCAGAGAGGACTGGTCTTATTTTTTTGAAACTAAACTATCATAGCAAAATGTGTCAATCAACAACATCGATGCAGCAGAAATGTATGAGACGATATTGATAAAGAACATTTGGCAGCCCTCGCCTATGACGTCATGTGCAGGACTCACGACCTTGGTAGATAAACCGGGGGGGGGGGCGGCCGTTGATTTACAGGGTTGTGTGTAATGTTTTATGTTTTTATTATTGCACATGTGTTCGTGAAGTGTATTGTGAGTGCTATCAGCGTGAGGCGTCGCCCTGCTAATAACACCGATGTCTCGGGGCTGCCAGCTGGACGCACTACTTGCGTCTTTTGTTGAGAGGGCGCTCCTCCCCACCCCCCCTTTCCTGTGTTCCTCCGCTGTGGCGGAAGTAAGTCGACTCGCGGAGGCCTCATCCTTCCAATGGCGACTGCGAACAGGCTGAATAGAGAGCGGGAGCAACCGTGGAGGGGGGTCAGAGCCGCGTAGCCGAAATTAAATACACATATCCAATTCAGTGTAGGCACAAAGTGAAGAATAACATATTGTTCCTCCTCTCCAAACAATCACGGCCGGTTCAATGGCCAAAAATCGGAACACTTCGCTCCTTGAGTCGGGTAAGCCGCAAGAAGTAAACCCCATCTGGTAGCTCCGTTTACTACGATACGGACGGCTCGTGGTAAAACTGACGGGATTTTTCTCACGGTTGATATTTTCCTCCATGTTCCCTTTCAGAGCTCTACTACCTGATCTCTCGTTTCCTGACAACGGGTCCGTGTCGGAGAGCGGCGGAGGTGAGCTGGCGTGCTTCGGCTGTGTTGTCTGTGCACCTAAGTTGACTAGCTAGTTAATAATGGAGCTCGTTAATAGAAGCCGGTGTGGTTATCGATGGTGTCTGTTTATCCTCCGCAGGTCCTGGCGAGTGAATTGGAGGAACATCAGGTGTGTATCCCCGCCGTGCTGCTGGTTGTCTTGCTAGCTGCCCGTACGTGTCGAGCCAGTGTGGACATAAAACTTGCCTGTGGACTTTTTCATACATCCGGACGTCTCACTCGTTTGACATCACCCGGTGTTTCTCACTAGCTCAACGCGAACCTGCTGCTCTTTTCTCTTGTTTCACACACACACACAAATTAACATGAACTTGTTTTCCGCAGCTCTTGCCCGGAAGACTTGACTGGCTTGGAAACGAGCACCCGAGAACATATGAAGATGTGGTGAGATTAAACTTCATCTCTTGTTTAATTCACTTGTTATTGTCTTGTGACTGGGGGGACCGTGTGTGTGCATGCGACCCGTGCTTGTTTACGCTCTTTGTTCTTCCTCCTGCGGCTCCACCGTCTCGTGTCCGGGGCTCTGGGTGGTGGAGGGGCGTCCCGGCTCCTTCTCGCCCGGTCTGGTTGCCAGACAAGGGGCCGACATGTCGGCTCAGACAGCGGTTTATGAAGTCGGGGTTTAATATTTTTTAGCTCGGACTCTGCTGCAGATCGGGTGGGTAGATCGGGCTGCTCGCTTGCTTAGGGGACGGCTCGGCTGGCCAATCAGAGGCCGAGCTGCGCTGTCTCCGCGTTGTTGTTCATGTGACCGGCGCTGCGATTGGTCCGCGGAGAGAGGAAGTTTTGCATAGGAAGCCACGCCCCTGAGGACAGGAGCACATCACACTGTGTCAGACGAGCCGCACAGAACTGCAGCTCCCATGAAACTCCTGAAAGTGTCAGCTGCACATAGGAGTCATTATACTTATACAGTCAGATGATGCTCTGCTTATCGTCAGCTTCATCACAGAAGTAGTTTTGATTATTGCTCTTGAAATCTTCCTCAGGTTCAGAGAATGATAAACACCTGATGAACAACAAAATGTCTTTCTGATAATTCTCAACATCTCTTTCTGTGGCTCGCACATCTCAAGAATCGGTCATCTCGTCGCCTCACACTTGTGTATTGTTAAGGACCCAAGGAAGTGCGTGCTGTGTTGAATTTCGTACGATCTGGACATATGATTTGTTTATAAACTTGACTGGCTGAGACTCATCATTGAAGAGATATTGTCATTAACTTTTTTGAAGCTTATGTACTTACATGATTCTTGCTGTTCTGGGTTTGTACCCTCATGGTTGATTGCAGTTATTTGAAGTTGCTTTGGATAAGCGTCAGCTAAATTATATTTAATAATGTACCACGCTGTTTTTTCCCCCATGATGTGTGAAGGGTTTTCTTAAAATTAGAATAATCTAAGCTGAAGATGATTCTTGCAACCTGAGCCTTACATTGCATCAAATACATACAATTTTACTTAAGACTTCTATCAGCATTAGGATAAATATCCATTTTCATTGTTGATTATTCTGCTCGCAGTCTTTATTTGTTGCTCACTAAATATAAATGTCAGTAAAATATGGCAACTACAATGTCTGAGAGCCCAAGATTGCACCTTTGCATTGCTTATCTTGTCTGTCAATCTAAAATCAAAACATTGACAGTTCACAGTCAGCCAAAACAAAGAAGAGCAGCAAATACTTGCATTTACAAGGATGTTTGATAATCCATTATCCATTTTCTTTCGATCACTTAATTTTAGCAGGCATCTGCGTCCAGTGTCACATCACGGATCTGTCTCTGTTTGCTCTGACAGGTTGCAGCCAATAGACACATTGCACCAGATCATTTGCTACAGATATGTAAGCAGATTGGACCAGTTCTCGACAAAGAGGTGCCATCATGTGTCCCAGGTGTACATTCTCTCCTGGGGTCCGGAAAGCAGTCGATGCTTAGGACCCCAAAAGGTATACACTCTTCAAGTTTTTAAGTATTTCTGGAGGCAGAATATTTTTTCAAATTTTTTCTCTGTACTATGACTGTCTCATATAATGTAACGGTTTGCTAAGTTTATTGGTGTGTGCCGTTGCCACAATCCCTTCACCACATGCAGCTGGAAATGACCTGAATCAACTTTGTGTTTTGTTTTTCAGACTGCGAACGTGTGCGGTTTAAAGCTTCATCATATGCAGCCCTTCACCGGGGCAGACCACCAGAGAGGCCTTTGTACTGCAAGAATCCTCCACACTTAGGTACGTCTGGTCCTCTCTTATGTGATAAAATGGACAAAGCAGACACATGCACTAGGTATGATATGACCTGGCAATGCTTTAAATGTTTCTCCCTACTAACCAACCATGCATGTGCTGTGTGATGACAAGTCATTGAAGAACTGGGTAATGTGCCCACTGTGTAATGCATTGGGCTTTACTCTCCAGCTTCCAGGCTTTATTTGCCAAACATCAGTGTGATGCACTGCTATGACTTAGCCAGATTGAATGGCTAAGATGCTGCCTGTTATACATGCAGTCTTTATTGCTATTAACAGCTATTGCGAGCATAAATCATTATTTAATTTAGAGATTTACACACACACACACACACACACACACACACACACACACACACGCACACACACACACACGCACACGCACACACAATGCCCAATTCTTCAGGTTTTCCATTGCAGGCATTTCTCTCCTGCACACCGTAGCAGAGATTCTTGTTAAACCTGTTTGCAACAGTGCCTTTTATTTTAGACCTCAAGGGAAGTAATACATGCAATTGGCACATTTTGGATACTTTTTTATTAAATGTGATTTTGAAGTTGAAGCTACAATTTAGAACTTAGGGATGGTGCACAAATGGGCCTCAGTACTTTCTGAAAACAAATTCAGCTTGAGGCAGTGAGAAGGAAAAGCTGAAAAAAACATGGATGGTTTTCATGTTTCTCTGATATTTTGTGGTTTCCCATGGTAACAGATACAAACCAGATGCACCCCACTTCAGAGGAGCAGGGATATAGTTATTGTTTATATGTTGGGTTTGTATTAGGGATGGAGGTTTGTACTCTGACTGTCAAATTTATTAACTGACAAGAAAAAAAAAGTAGTATGAAAAGTAGACATGAAGCAAGTGACTAAGAAAGAGGAACTAGCCTAAAAAACAAAAATGTATTTTGTGCTGTATAGAGAGAGGCAAATTGTTTATTAATAAACAATGCATTTACTTTGTATTTGTTGCATTTCCATTTTTCATTCCATCCAGTTATTATAACGCCCCCTTTATTCCTGCCCACATCAGAGTAAATATATCCCACTCTATTTCTGCTGATAGTAGTTGCACTGTAGTTCTGTATTTTTATCTCTCTACTGATGACTGGCTTCTTATCATCAACAGTGGAGGTGCATCGAGGGAGAGAGCTGACAGGAGCACAGCGCTTCAGTTCCATCAATCCTGTCAGCAACTATGAGCACATGCGGCTGCATAGGCGGATCCTGGGCCATCTGTCTGCAGTGTACTGTATCGCATTTGATCGCACTGGTCTCAGGATCTTCACTGTAAGATGGAGTATTTTTGGCACATTTCCCCCACTCAAAAATAAACCCCATACTCAACATCACGGCACTTCAATAAATTCATTTTGTTTTGCTTTTTAAAAACACAAATTTAACACTGAAATTAGTTTTTAAACAGCATATTTAATATTGGATCTATTATTAAGTAATTATCTAAGTAAAATGTGGGGGTTTTTTTGTTCATCAGGGCTCAGATGACTGTTTGGTGAAGATTTGGTCTTCGTTTGATGGAAGGCTTCATTCAACATTGCGAGGACACTCTGCAGAAATCACAGACTTGGCGGTTAATTACGAAAACACACTAATCGCTGCAGGAAGCTGTGACAAGACCATCCGTGTGTGGTGCCTTCGTACCTGTGCTCCTGTGGCTGTGCTGCAGGGGCACAGTGGATCCATTACCTCCCTTCAGGTAAAATAATCTCTGTCATGCTAATAATATTAGAGGCTGCATTATGAAAGAAAAAGGGAGCTTTTTTTCTGTACTGATGCAAGGTTCATGAATACTATTTAAAGTATTTATGGTCTAAATTTTTACTGTGAGGTACCTTTATCGTGCTCCACCTCTCAAGTATTCTTAGGTCCTACTAGATATATTTTCACTGAAGTTTTAGTTTAAAGAAATGCTAACTTAGTGTATATGTACATCAACTAGTCCTAAGCCGATAAAGAACAAAAATTATTATATGGATAAGATAAAATATTTTGGGGCCTCACAAGACTCCATCTTCTGTTTGCTGGATACACTGTTTACAGTTCGACTAGTTTCTTTTACCTCATGATTCGAACACTTTTAAACACAAACGGGGATCCAGGTGGCATTTTGGCTATCTCTATTGACAGCTATCTACATATGAATTTGATTTAAAAAACCAATAGCTGATACCGTTTGGTCAATGTATTCCCCCTCTTTTGTTTTCCCACATGGAATGTATCTGCATCTGTTTAAAAGTGGGCCTCAATGTGATTCGTCAAAACCAATAAGGTTCATGCCCCAAAATCTTGTCCCTCGCCTACAGATTCTGCAAATTCACATACGATAACAGTATTTTTATCTTTGGGATGTTATGCATCTTCTTCTGCTTTCCACACGACAGGATTTATTTTGATTAATTAACTTTATATGCTGTATGATGTCGTTTTTAATTGAATAGAGGCCTCAGACACTTAGAATGAACATGTTATTACTGCATTTATACAGAATGAAATAAAAGTAGAAGAGTCTGTATCAAGTCTGGCACGTTCTTGTTTTATTTGAAGCATCTGTTTCCATCAGCCCTCACGTCATCCTCTTATTGCTATGACAACTTCTGCCCCAGCCAAGTGTAAAATTATTGTTCTTTGTATGTTGCCAGAAAATAGTTATTCAGATCCAGAGGACCTGACAATTGTGGAATTATTCATGTGTTATGAACACCAGAAAACAAAATTGAACCTTGCTATTCCTAATGTTGCCTCAAAGTCAAGATTTTGGCCTTACTTGGATAGCGTTAATATGTGACTGCATACAGAGTTAATACACATGTCTGCAGATTCAGATGTCTGATCTGTGAATGTTTTGTGTTTTCAGTTCTCACCGTTTGCAAAGGGCTCAAAACGTTACATGCTGTCCACTGGAACTGATGCTACTGTCTGCTTCTGGCAATGGGACGTCAACAACATCAACTTCAGGTGAGTGCTGCTTGTTAACAGTTTCCCTTTCAGAGCTTTTCACTCACAAAAATTCTGTCATAGTTATAATATTATAAAATGTATAATCTGTAAAATGTTTCCCCTCCACTCTGCACAAATTGTTTAGAGTATCTAGCCTTTTTTCCCCATCCCGAACATTGACAAATTTGTGCTGATTCACCACAGTATCAATTTTAAGTGACACATACAGATTTTTGGCCTTTTTTACTTTTTCAAATGGGTAAATTCTTTTTGTTTAGCTGTGCACAGAGCTTCCTTATGATCATTTGGGGGAGGAGGTCAAATTGTTGTTAGCTTTTCTCCCGAGAGAAGACCAGTGGCACAGCTGCTAGTCAACATTGACTGCTTGAACAAGTGGAAATGTTCATTCTTTAACGCTTCACATTGAATGTTTACTCCTCAATTCAGAAAAAAACATTTTTTTAAATGATAATCGGCTCATCCTGAGGAGGCATACAGACGAGTATCTACATACCTCAAATCAAACCAGTATGATAAGATATCCAGGCTTCAATGTTTTAAGGCTCTGCCTGTAGAGCTGGTTGTGCACTGAGCAGCATTAGTCTGATAGATGAAGTTGACAGAAGATTCCAGTCTTTTGAATGGAATGCAGCTTGTGTTTTACCTTCAGGCAAGAACAGGGACAAACTCAATTCACCAATCACGAAGCTGCATGATGGTATTATAACCAGTTAAAGTCGATTAATATTTCTTGTCAATCAGGACTGTGATCAGCTATTATATTTACAGAATCACAGAATTAATCATAACTCCTCAGTGAACTGCCTGCTAGACAGAAGTATGTCAGTTTTTTTGGGTTAGGCCTCAGTTTGTATTTAATAATTTGGATTTCCCACTGATTTCAACTTAATTTTAAAGTGGGACAATAACTGGCTTATTAGTCCTGAATACATTTTTTATTTGAAAGTGTGGCCCCTGCAGTGTCTGCTTAGAAAAGGTAGTCGATGACCCGCTGTACACAGTCAAGTAAAAATGGAAGCTCTCCCAGTTGCAATCTGCAGCAGGCCCACGGCAAACACTGGGAGACAAGCCAAACTGAGTTGACAGTTTTCTCTGCTCCAACACTGCAGCTTTGTCTTATTAAACTAAGTAGAAAACCTTACTTATACAGAACACAACCAGGTAAAAGTATAAAAAAATGAAGAGAGACTTGGACTAAATGGATACAATGACTTTTGTTCACCTCAAAGTATATGAATGAGCTTTATCTAATGAGACGTTTGACCTGACCTGACTGCATTCACATCTGTCATCCTGATGTTAGAATGCTAGTTAGATTAGATGAATCATCACTTGATAGTTCGGTTGAAGGATGAATCGAATCTTAACATTGGTTTTTTTGTGTCTTTTTTCTCTGCTCTTCTTAAAGTGATCGGCCTCACAAATTTACTGAGCGGCCGAGGCCAGGAGTTCAGACAGTTTGCTCCTCATTCAGTCCAGGTAATTAGTCATTTTATATTATCTGTTGCTTTGTGTTGAACCAACCTGTATAAATGTTATTTAAGCTGCTTTCAGACATGCACTGAACTGCACATAATCTCCAGACTATCTCTAGAGGGGCTGTATGTGAGAACGCAAATCCGAGTGAGAGGCTCTGGACTTTCTCCAGAGTTTCTCCTTCAAGGCCCCCAGTAAAAACTCAGGATGATGTCTGCGTGAGTTTATGTGAAAACAGAAAGAGATTCTCGGGATTTATTTATTCACGATTTATCTGGATTTTATTGTATCCTGTCACTCGACTTCATTTTTAATGAGGCCTCCCTCAATGAATTTCAAGTATGAATAAAGGTTAATAATGATTCAACACAAGTGGGTGGATATGTTGATTATGTTTATATTAAGTTTGACTAAAAAATAATACAAATATCCCAGGATGAAAAAGCAGTGCCATATGTGTTAGACATCACAGACAAAGATATTGAGCGCACTTTTGGTGAAACAGTTGTTGATGTGCTGTAAACAAAAACATGTGATTTCTGCAGCAGAATGTATACATGGCGTCCTCCCTGCTGCACCCCCCCTTCTCTGGAGATTTGTGTCGTTGTGTACATGTCAAGCTGCAGAATCTCCTGCTGCTTTGCTGTGTGGTGTGTGAAGGGCAAATCTGGAGACAGTCTAGACCCAATTGTCCAGACATTCTCTGGAGTTCATGTCTGAAAAAAATTGATGTGATTGCATAGTTCTCATTATTATCACCTAGGTAGCATATAATTATATAGATGCACACTGTTAACATTTTGGCTTAAAAACTTACAGCTGATCTTTTTTCTCAGGTGGGATATTCTTAGCAACAGGAAGTACTGATGATGTCATCAGAATATACTACTTGGGAAGCGGGAGTCCAGAAAAGATATCAGAGCTCCATGAGCACACAGTAAGTGCCAATTAATTTTTATATTTCTGAGGCTGCACATGGCACCAACCAAAAATGTAAATTCAGCAGTAACAAAATTAATGATCGTTCTCATTATTTCTGTCGTCTCTCTGCAGGACAAAGTTGATAGCATCCAGTTTTGCCACTCAGGTGAAAGGTAAGATAACATGACTGTATATTCGATTGCTTTATTTATTTATCATAGTAGTTAAAAGTGAATTGGATGTAACAGTTAATGTCACTGTCCTGTCTCAGGTTTGTGAGCGGAAGTCGTGATGGAACAGCACGGATCTGGAAGCTCCATCAGCGGCAGCAGTGGAGGTGCCTCTTGCTCAACATGTCCGCCACTCTTCCAGGGTAAGGAACAACTTTAAAGCAATGTTGATGAAATTGATCTCATCTTGGTGCAAAAGCTTCTGTCGTGTGTGCAGTAATTGCTCAATGAGGAAGATTAATTATATGGCGTGAATCTAATTGCTGTCTCGGCCGCCTCAAAGAGCTGTCAGTGTCCAAGTGAACCAGGTGCTGATGTCAGCAACGAAATCCATTTGCACGAGTTTTTTTATTTATTCAGTTGACAGATTTGTTGCGTTTGTGAATGCGTCTGAGCGGAGAATCTCCTACTGCGTTGTTCAAGTCTGGAGAGAAAGTCCACACCCAATTCTTTGGAGTTCATGTCTGACGATGGCTTTAATAACAAAAACACTTCACATTTTTCCTCAACAGTTTCAGTACATTTGCATGTGTTAAATTCAGTTTGTCTACATTTTCAAAGAACAAGTCAGTTATAAAAGGATTTCTGTTTCATTGGAGAAGAAAATCTTCAGCATCACACGGGTTTAGTTCTTTGCTTCCTTCTTTTTTCAAGCATAAATGAACCAGTTCATCACCTTTAGTAAACTGAAAGAGAAAACACAAAGAAGCAGGATAATGCCCTAGGTCATGTATAGTTGTAGTATGTGTATTTTCCAACTGGATTTTTTTTCTCACAGTGCTGAAGCAATGAATGAAGAGGAAAGTTACTTCAAACCCAAAGTCACCATGGTAGCGTGGGATCGCCATGACAATACAGTCATCACAGCCGTTAACAACCATCTCCTCAAAGTGTGGAACTCCTACACAGGACAGCTGCTACATATCCTCAAAGTAATTGTGCACAATGTTGAGTTTCTCTTAATAAAATGCTGAGTGTAGTGGATTTAACCCCCACAAACCAGGGACTAACTTGAAGTGTGTTTACAGGGCCATGAGGCCGAGGTGTTTGTGCTAGAGCCGCATCCTTTTGACCCCAGGATCATCCTATCTGCCGGTCACGATGGGAATGTCTTTATATGGGATCTGCTGCGAGGGACAAACACACAGCACTACTTCAACATGGTATACTGACGCTCATCACTCGATTCAGATCAGAGACACACAGCGATACGCAACATGACAAATGCATCAATCAGACTGAGAGGAAGCGGAAACAGATTTTTGAAAATTGTACTTTTTGGTTCTTCAGGTAAAAAGTATGCAAGGACACATTGTGTGAACCATTCCTAAACCTCCTACAGTTAAAGAAAATTAATTTGAGCTCCTGTGGAAAAACTCCTTTATGCGTCGAGTTTCTGTACCTTGGGTGATTTTGTGTTTCTTATCCAGATTGAAGGCCAAGGTCATGGAGCTGTGTTCGACTGCAAATTCACTCCCGATGGCCAACGCTTTGCCTGCACAGACTCTCACGGCCATCTGCTCATCTTTGGCTTCGGAAGCTCCAAGCCATATGAGAAGGCAAGAATGCACATTAAATCTTTATACAAATGATTTGTCCTTACTGCCAGGTAAAAACCAAAGATTTTACAGATTGATAAAACATTATTTAACTCTCTGTAAGCTCTCAGTACAGTATACCAACATACCAGACCTGTGTATGTGTGTGTCTTTGTGTGTGTATGTGTGTGTGTCTTATCCATCCTCTCTCCTGCTCTCACCACAGCTTCCAGACCAGGTGTTCTTCCACACAGACTATAGACCGCTGATCCGAGATGCCAACGGCTTTGTGTTGGATGAACAGACTCAGCAGGCTCCCCATCTCATGCCCCCTCCCTTCCTGGTGGATGTGGATGGAAACCCCCATCCTCCGAGGTAGACATGGCCCTCTTTCAATTAAACAGCAGCTGTACAGTCTCCATCCCTTGAAAGATTAGTCCATGCAGGTTTTTGACACTCTGGGCCAGTGATCGCAGACTGGTCGATCTCGGCAGTCTTCACTGTCGATCCCCACTCTGGACTCACTGGCTGCGGTTGCGCTGCAGACCAGCTGTGTGTTGGATGTCTGTTAAATCTACTGCATTTCCTCTAATACAAGTAAATGGATAATAAATGGAGTGCTTTTACTTTGAAAGGGGTTAGGGAAGTGTTGGACATAATAAGAAAAACATTGCGTTTCACAGCTGAATAACTGAGAAATTATCTTTCACCTGAGTTTTAATGTTTATCTGTTGAATGTTTTGTGGCACTTGGTAGGTTAGAGCAGTTTAATTATAATCTTCACTTGTTTTTATTGTTTTATAGTCTTATTGTCCCTGTTTTACTTGCAATTGTTATGTAAATACGTAATAGCAGCATCAGTATAGGCATTGAATAGTTGTCTTCCATTTAAAATGTATCTTTAACTGATTAATGTTTTGATTTATTTTCTCACATCAGGTATCAGCGTCTTGTTCCGGGGCGGGAGAACATTGCTGCTGAACACCTGGTTCCTCAGCTGGGATATGTAGCCACCAGTAAGACCTTCCTTTGAATTCATTTCTAAAATTTAGACAACAATGTACATTTTATGCACAAGTCCAGTCTGATTTCACTGCTTTATCTGTCAGACTAGATTTATTCAGCCTCTTTCCAGCCTCTTTAAACAACCCGCTATAAGTATATGTCCATTATGAAGTCCTCTCCTCGTTTCGCTCTGTATAGGCGATGGCGAGGTGGTGGAGCAGGTGATCAGCCAGCAGACGGCAGAGCACGAGGAGGTTACGATAAGACGCAGCAGCCTTCTGGATGAAGCCATCCGACAGCTCAGGGAGCAACAGCTCAGGGAGCGACAGGACCGTCAGTCGCAGGTTGGGACAGAAGCAGTGCTGCCTGCTGGAGCAGGACCGGAGGGGCAAGCTGAGGCACAGGGTGCAGCCTTCGCACCAGCACCAAGCACGCCACGCAGAGGTATCAATACAGCACCAGAGCTGGAATTATATTACTGTGTTGATGTGGTGAGCCCACTGAAGGATAATATGATTATTTTAAAATTTTAGTGTCTGTGAATGATCGAGCAGATGTGCAGTCGCCACCAAATGTGGGTCTGCGCCGCAGCGGACAGGTGGAAGGCGTCCGGCAGATGCACCAGAATGCTCCTCGTAGCCAGATAGCCACCGAGAGGGACCTGCAGGCCTGGAGACGCAGGGTGGTGGTGCCTGAACTGGCAACTAGCAGCTACAGGTATGAGACCTGCAGTATTTTCTGTTTTTCATCAGCCATAACTTGAGATATGATGTATATGACTCATTCAATTTTATTTCCAAGGGGATGCTGTTCACACAGAAGACAAATCACTTTTACCTCCGCCAAGGAGGTTATGTTTTCGTTTTCTCTGTCTTTTTGATAGTTTGTAAGATTATGCAAAAAAACTGAAACTTGGTGGACTGATGTGGTATGGGCTGAGAAAGAATTTAACATTTTCCTTTATTCTCAGAATAATTATTGGACTTTGATGAAAAAAAATATATAATATATATTGTAGATCAGATAAGATAATTTTAATAACTTGGTTGAGTTTGATCAAGACATTATTTTCACAAGTCCTTCATTACACATAAAAGAAATTAAAGAAGAAGAAAGTGAACTTAGCCTGGTTGACCCCAACAGACTAAGGATCAACTATTATTTCTTTTAAATTGTGCATGAAGAAGACATCGTACGAACACCAGCTGTCAGATCCCTGTGGCTAAATATGCTTCAGAATGTAGTTTACATTTAACATTTTATAGCACTGATAATTCTCTCAGTCTTGGGGCTGTTTCTCTTTAATTTGAAACATTATGGAAATTGTTTTTCAGGGACCAGGAGTACATCCGAACAGCTAAAGGAGATGAGGAGGTGGCTCAGTACAACGCAAAGAAGAGGCGAATTATCTACAGCAGCTGTCGGGTAGGTTTCTTGTTCCTTTACTTGTGAAGGAATTTTTAATTCAATTTTTTTTAAAGATTTGTGTTCCCCAACTTTGTGGAATTTATTGTGCTGGACTTCAACCAATCTGTAACTTGCATTTATGAACATGACATACTGTGTTGGACTGATGAGAGAGTCAGTGAGTGAGAGACATATTATATGTGGTTTATTTATTGTCCTCTGTATTAGTTCTTTATCAGAGATTTCAGTTTTTTTTCCAGTTCACAACTCTTTCAGTACAAATCTTTGCTCTGTCCCATCTGTCTAATCAGGATGATTCAGACGAGGAGACCTCCAATACAAAGCGTGCCCACGGCCGCAGTGACTCGATGGAATTACTTGAGTTGTCTTGTGAAGAGGGAGAGGAAACCCCAAGCTCAGACCTTCACTCTGAGGTGCCATATCTTCCACTTTACTGTACCTTTAAGGACAATGTCATTTAAAAGTACACACGGTCTCTATTTGCTTTTCTCATTTGTAAATTTGTTTTTTTGTTTTGAATATGTTCAGGACAATGATTTGGATGGGAGTGACCTGGAGTCCTCCAATGATGAGGAGGAATGGAACAGTGACAGCTCAAGGTATCAAGTTGTATAGAAATAGATCACAAAGTATTGGGAAGTAGTTCTAAGCATTTGTTTAAACTTGTTTAGAGCACTAGAGTAAAGGTTTTCCAATCACAAAAATGTCTATTATAAACAGTTGGTTATCATTTTGATGTTAAAAGTTTGTGCTATTCCTTTGTGTCATCTCCATTCATCTGGTACCCCGAACAAGTTTAAACAAGTTACCTAAACATGCTTTTTACAGCCTGTTTTCATCCTTGTTTAAAATGTTAATCATAACTGCTTTTGATTGGATAGCCACTCGTCCAGTGAGTACTCTGACTGGACGGCAGACGCCGGTATCAATCTGCAGCCCTCTACCCCCTTGTCGTCACGGAAACGAGTGCGGCGCAGACTCAGCACCTCTGAAGAGGATGAGGAAGAGAACGAGGAAGAGGAGGAGAAGCAGCAGAGTGATGAGGAGGAGAATCCTGAGAAGAAAATCAAGGAGAAGGCCAAGAAAGCAAAGAACAAGGCACCGCGGGTGAGTTGTCAGACACTTGTCACTGTGCTGTAGATGATCTCATTGTAGAAATACTAAATAATAATAAATCAACGCATTTTCCATCTTTGTTCTCCAATCAGCGTCAGAAGGCCAGACCATCCATCAACAGAGAAGTGTCCAATGAGTTCAGACCTTCACCATGGATCACTGATGTCATTCCCAGGAAGTCTCCGTTTGTTCCCCAAATGGGAGATGAGGTATATGCTAATATTAGAATCTGTGTTTTTACATTTCTTTTATTTGATAATACAAAATTTGTATTTGTTATGAGATTTATTTCGATCCTTCACATCCTCTTATATATAAATAATTACTTTTCCAGTCATAACTGACTCTCGGCAGGTAATCATGCTCCTTATTACAACGACATCAAATCTTAATTTGAAAAACCGTGAGACTAAAAATCATTGCATTCGCACACCCAAGAAATGAACCATAAACAAAATGGAAGGAACTATTTTTCATAAATCTCTTTCAGATGATATTTAAGTCAGCAGACTTCAGAAACAATATTATTATATCATTGTTCTTAAATATATAAAGCCACACATGTGGTCTAAATACTTTTGTATGTTTCTCTGGTGGTCGTAGCAGGGCATCATCGTTATCCTGTAGAAATACAAAGTAAAAACATTTTTCATTCTCGTCATCCTGTGTTTCAGTAGCATCCTAAGCTCTGAGTCTCTCTCTGTCCTTCAGGTGATCTACTTTCGGCAGGGACATGAGGCATATGTTGAGGCAGTGAGTCGGAGTGAACTGTACCCCATCAACTTAGACAAACAGCCGTGGAAGAAAATGGAGCTGCGGGTAAGATGAGAGAAAATTAGAAGAAAAGTCAAACATTACTGGTACAAGAGTTTGGAAAACGTATTTGTAGCTGCACACTTAATTGTGTTTTTTGAGCTTTTTGAGTGATCATAAAAAGTTTGATCTCATCAACACAAGTAGAAGTCTAGGAAATGAATGGAAACCATGCTGTATGTTTTCTAGGACCAAGAGTTTGTGAAGATCACAGGGATCAAATATGAAGTCTGCCCTCCAACACTTTGCTGCCTGAAGTTGACTCTCATCGACCACGGCACTGGCAAAATCACAGACAAGTCTTTTTCTGTCAAGTAAGCAGCGCAGCTTCCTTAACTGGCTCACACGTTACATATTAACCTGCATTTGTCTTTGTCTTGTATGAGCTGTATGTACATACACAAAGATCACCAGTCCATTTAGAATGTGTGGGTTGAGTCGCTCTAATGATGAAGATAATGAGCTCTCAGCAACCAAAATATGTTTTTTGTTGAAATGCCAGCTAAATTTCTGATGCTGCTCTTTTTTTAAATGGTTGTGTCTTACTCAACATGATCGAGCTTCAGTTTCACAAAAACAAAGACTGTTTGCACTTTCCCATTAAAATGAATTTCTCCAACAGGTACCACGACATGCCTGATGTTATAGATTTCCTTGTTTTGAGGCAAAGTTATGACGAGGCGATGCGTCGGAACTGGCAACCACGTAAGTTTATGCACCTTGTTCGAGATGTTATTGAATCGTATCAGGTTGATTTCATTGGTGGTGAAGACAGCAACTCCCATGATCCCACGCTGCTTCAAGATATCATCCAGCTAGGCCAGCTTAATGTTAATGTTTTGATTTAGAGATCCCTAATGGCTGAAGTTTTGTTTTTAATGTCCAATACTTTCCTCCATGTATCTGATTTACGTACATGAATATACACAGAAAAACTTTTTCATGAAACTTCACACTTATATTAATTCTCTCTGTTGCAGGAGACAGGTTTCGTTCAGTAATAGACGATGCCTGGTGGTTTGGGACCATTGAGTGTCAGGAGCCGTACCAGCATGAATATCCTGACAGTCTCTTCCAGTGTTTCAAAGTCAGGTGGGAAAACCTAAACATTGTCAGGACAGGGAAACTGTCACTTAGCTGTAAGACACTACAGGCCTTCTGAAGAAACAGATAGTTTGGGGTTTTCTGCCTCTCAAGACTGCAGCTATGACCGAAAAAAAGTAAATGCAAAGGCAAACCAAATATTTCAGAAAACATATTTCATGTTAGATTTTAGGTTTTAATTTGTTAAGCTTATTGTTTGTAGCCAATAGCCAATCCGTTATGACTGCGCTATCTGCCCTCCAGTGGTCATATACAGGCGTTACAGTGTCGACATTCACATTGAACGAGGATTATGTTGTTTTTTTTATACTGTGTTCAGAATATCATTTGTCTGAGCTTTGGAATAATTATCTTTTTTTATGAAACAAATATCTTGTTACTGATTGTATATGATGTTTACTAGTTTTTAATAAATAACATTTTTGAAAAGGTGGTACTAATGGTGACTTGGCCTTTGCTGTTAAAGACCTGAAACTGTGGAACAGTTATTGAGACCAGACAGGCCACATCATTAATATATTTTATATTATTATAAATAAAGTTCATTATAAGTTAAATCATTATAATCAATATGATATGATATTATTTGTCAGTGTTGTAGATTTGATAGCTGACTGTGACAAACTGTCTTACAATAATGTTTGTGTTCCCTCCCAGCTGGGACAATGGAGAAAATGAGAAACTGAGTCCCTGGGATGTGGAACCTATTCCAGATAATGGTAATTAAAACCACTGTACTTCCAGTCACATCCACCACATAAAGAAGTACTGTACTTATTATGTTTTATACAGTCTTTATAAGATATAATGATGTTTCACTGATACTATGAAGGGGGTTGTCTCTCCTGTGCAGCAGAGCAGCCAGAGACTGAAGGAGGTGGTATCCCTGTGACACCAGATGAGATGAGTGAGCTGATGTACAAGCCTCTGCCAGGGGAGTGGGGGGAGAGGAGCAGGAACGACGAGTGTGAACGCATCATCGCAGCCATTGACCAGCTCATCACCGTTGGTTTGTATACATACAGACACTTGTTAAGTTTGTTCAGTCTATTTTCTGTCATTTTCTCACATCAGGGGATCTTTGGGTTTATTTTAAGTTTTTCTTCCCATCTGCATTGTGTGTCTGTTACAGAGATTGCAGCTCCTTTCTCTGGTCCTGTGGACCTGGTCCAGTATCCCACCTACTGCACCGTGATCGCCTATCCTACTGATCTGGGAACCATCAAATTGCGACTCTTGAACAGATTCTACAGGTCAGTCCCTCCAGTCTGTCTTCTGCATATCTGTTAATGCTAAGCTGTTCAGAGTGAATTATTGAAAATTATTTGTACTCTTGATCTGATTTATTTTTGCATACATCATATTTTGTGCTACTCAGTATATTTATTCACATCCGTCCACAGACGCCTCTCAGCATTAATTTGGGATGCCAGGTATATTGCACACAACGCCCGCACTTTCAATGAGCCAAGGAGCAAGATTGCCCACTCTGCAAAAATCATTACAAATGTCCTCCAGAAATTTGTCAAGTAAGTTCTTCTTCTCTTAGCTGGTGTTAGTTGAAATTTTTTTTTATCACATTCTAATTAAAACGATCATTTGCATCATAGAATCAGAATTTGTAATGTAAATGAACATTATTGAACATGTCCAGTGTTTCCCCTACAACTGTACCTGCCTGGTGGGATGCCCCTCCCAGTCAGAAAATATCTGTAGCATTATATAGAATGCTAAAAATCCAGCTATCTATTCATTCTGAGATCAATAATTCTGAAATAATAATTAACTTATTTTCGCAGTGATCCAAGCTGCACAGATATCATGGAGATTTACAACGCTGTTGAAGAGATGGATGATGATGAAGAGGTAAGTCTTCCGAATTCAACAACTACAATATTACATGCAATGACTTTTTATATATTTTTTATGTGCTTTATATCACATATTGGTGAAAATTCTGAACTAGTCAAATAGCTAGATATTAGTTTGACAAGCAAACAGAGGTATAAGTACACAAAGAGTCTGTTGTGATTTGGGTGATTTAGCTTGAAACACAGATGAACTGCATGTTCAAATGGTTGTTTGTCATTTTTAGACAGTTTATCAACATTTGCACACCAGTAGAAAATGAAAGTAGCAGGTCAGTATCTTACATTTTGTTACCGTCCACAGGATGAGGATACAGAAGCACCAGGAACCTCAGCTGGACACCGACTGCGTCAGGTAAAAAGAAATACTGAATATTGTATGTATGTGTGTGTGTGTGTGTGTGTATATATATATATATATATATATATATGTCATTGGTATTAATTGGTCTAAGTTCATAGTATATGTATAAGGAAAAGGAGATAACAGTTTGTTGGCAGATTGACTTTTAATGATTCAGCAGCAACAGATCAGTATGTTTTACTTGTCATGATGACCTCCTCTCTTATTTGCCTACTTCAGCAGCGCTCTGTAGAGGTGGTGCCGGACAGAGATGCCTGGAAAGAACAGTGCAAGAGTCTGCTCAACTACATATTCCAGTGTGAGGACTCTGAACCATTCAGGAAGCCTGTGGATCCTGAGAACTATCCAGTGAGTCCACACAGCACATTGCAGTCATGCTATTCACAGAGTTCACAACAGTGTTCACATTTATTGTTTGTTTTAAGTCTAAATTGTGTATGCAGGACTACCATGATATTATTGATACACCAATGGACTTTGGCTCTGTGAAAAGGACCCTGGAAGAAGATCACTATGAAAACCCCATAGAGCTTTGCAAAGACACCCGGCTAATATTTGCTAATGCTAAAGCCTACACACCCAATAAACGCTCCAAGGTAGGGCAGTAATTACAGGGTGACATCATGTCATCTTCTACTACAGCTGTTCTTTTATATTTAAATGTTTATGTTTCTATTTTAGTTTGTCTCAGTCTCTTCTATTCATTTTCTGCCATAGATTTACAGTATGACCCTGCGGCTCTCTGCCTTCTTCGAGGAGCAAATCAGAACAATCATATCTGAGTACAAAACTGCTGTGAAGAGCAGTGATAGGCTCCGCCGCAGTCAGAGATTCCGTAAGAAGATGCAGCAACAGGATCAGTCCTCCGCCACAACAAGGTCTGTTTGAGTTGTGCCTTTGCTCATCGTAACTGCTTAAGAAATGAGTCGGTCGGGGATATAATATCTACTATCCACTGTGAACGTTGTAGGTACAAATCTAGTACTTTGTTGTAACTTTTTATCCAATGTACAGTTTCAAAGACAGCACAAATACTTAAAAGTTATCAGTTTAATTGCTTAGGTGTCAGATCACATACTGTATGTAAAGATAGATCCACTTTCTCCTGTTGTACAAACATGAAGCCAAAATATCCTAGATACGGGTGCCGAGTCTGCACAGTAATGAAATGTTGTCACTCTGGATAAACTACCGAGACGAAGACAGAGACATCTTGGAGACAAAATTATTCGACATGTACTTTGACTTTGTAGTTTGGTATGTGTGCCATCTTCCAACATGTAGGTGATGGGATTTATGCCATGCATTGCAGCCCAGTGCTACCATGTCGTTCATCTTAATATACAGTCTGCGTCAGACCAGACAGGCTTTAATGTTAATTTCTTCTCCATGACACTGCCTGATTAAAAATAAATGAATTCTTCTTTTCTAAAGTCAAAAGAAAGGTGCAGTCAAAACTCAGGTAAAAGTCGAGATGACGTCAGTGACCAAATCTACCTCAGCCAAAGTGTCTGTTTCTGAGCGAGCCAGGAGGAGTCGAAGCAGCAGCTCAGGTCACAGCTCCTCAGAGGACGACTCCGGCTCCAAAGCTGCTTCATCAACACCAGGTACAAATGAGACTTTGTGTTATACATGCACTTAAATTATAGGATATTACTGAAAGTGCAAGATTCTGTGCCCTGTTTGTTTTTTCAGGTGACCTGATCCTAAGTGGTCAGTTTTACCCACCTCCACCACACTACCACATTTAGTTTGTGACGTGCGATATAGTGGAAATACAGTGGAGTCTTACGAAACTCAGCTCTGGAGATGCGCTTTTGAAACTTCTGTCCCCAAACTTAACACTGTTAAGAAGAGAGTGACAAGACTGAGAGCTCATGGGCTATAACTGACATGATTCAATGTTTTTCCACTTCAGAGTCTGACAGTGAGAGTGAGCTGAGTGGTTCACAGAAAAAACATCCCGATTCCTCAAGGCACCATCAACGCAGACATAAAGCAAGAGTTACGAGGAGCAACTTCGCCAAACAGAGGAAAAAAGGTCAGACGTTTCTCCAGGTTGAAATCCAAATCAAATGCTACACCTTGTGCTCACAGAAAATTCAAGTAGATTATCATGCAACATGTGAAGTTAAAGTGTATTTTAGTGATTAACCCTGTAAATATGATGTTATTTCCAGCTGCCAAGAGCGACAGTGAAGAGGAGGAAGATGACGATGAAGAAGAGGAGGAGTTTGACAGTGAAGGTGAGAAGAGTGAGGATGGAGAAGTGTCCTCCCAGTCTTCAGGTCATCGCTACCCCAGCAGGAGTAAAAACAGCAGGAGTACACGTCTGACCAGAAACAGTGCTGCTGCGGACAGGAAACGGACAGGTAAATGCTTAAGATAGACACTTGTGCATCTAAAGCAATGTGAGTCACAGCTACACATTTCACATCCATTTTCATGGCTTGTTTTCAGAGGACAGAGCGGAGATGAATGGTCACAGCAGCAGGTCGTCTCGCAGGGAGAGACGTCACCACCGGGACATGTCCATGTCCCAGGGCTGGGACAGGGAGGACGAGGACGAGGAAATCTCAGTCCGTGGGTCACTCAAGAGAAAGACGGCGAGGGCGGCTGTGAATAAGATGAAACTCCTTGAAGCATCAGAGGAAGATGATGAAGAGGAGGAGAAGCCGAGAAGGAGCAGCAGCCGCCTCCGCCCTGCATCCCGGGCCGGCAAACGCCCCGCAGTGATCCAGAGCAGCTCAGATTCAGACGGAAAGCCGTCAACACGGGGTAAGCAAATGTACCTAAAATATGTGTTAGAATGGACATTTAAGTTCTTGAATATCAGTTTTTATCTTTATTTAAGAGTTTGAGGGGAAGTTATTAATTTCATGTTCAGATTTTGTTATGCTGTCCCTCAAATCCCTGCGGATAAAAACTGTGGACGATTTCATGATGGACTCCTGCTTGTGCAGGGTTTGCTGGGACAAATTCCCTGCACTCCAACTTCAGCTCTTCTCCTAGTGCTCACGCTGCTCCTCTGCGTGCATGAAATGTCTACATTAGCTTTACTTCTTTGCGTGTTCTCAGATTTTGAAAATATAAACATTCTATTCCCATTTTTATAATTTAAGCAATTTATATGATACATATTTGCTCAGTTCTGCTCTCATTCTGTTTTACAGCTTCTCGGAATACAAAAGAATTGGATGGAAACGAGAGCGAAGCTTCATCCTCCTCCCAGAATCAGCAGAACGGCAACACAAGATCCAACAAACCGAGACAAGCTGCTAAAGCAAAGGGAAATGGTGAGAAATATCCTCATCTGTCATGTTTACATTTTGATATCTAGTTGCCACTTCATGTCAAAGTTTCTCTAATGGTTTGGATTGTTTTCACTTTTTCTCTGCAGATACTTTGTCCCACGTGAACGGACACAGTGGAAAACATCACAAATCTGACAGCAACTCTGAGCAGGAGGAGACTGCAGAGGAGAGTTCTCGAGAAGCTGAGGAGGATGAGGAAGAGACAGCGGTTGCTCGGAGACCTTCAAGAAGCACAGCAGCTACTCCAGCCAGGAAAAAGAGGATAACAAGTGAGGAGGAGGAAGAGGAAGAGGAGGAGGAGGAGGAAGAGGACGAGGAAGAGGAGGTAGAGGACGTAGAGGACACTGTATCCAGGACCACGCGACACAAACCTCCTGTAAGCTCAGATGAAGAGGACAAAAACCACAGTTTGCAGAAACATCCGCACCAAAATGGAAGAAATGTGGAAGGAGCAATTCACAAGGACAAGAAAAAGAGTAAACTTACACCATCAAAAAGCCAAGATAAACAAAAATCTGCCTCAACTAATAAACTGAATGGTGCAGAATCAGATGAACTCAGTGATTCTCCAAAGAGATCCAACCCCCGCAAGAAAAAACTGAAAAAAGATGAAGAAAGCAATCACTCCAGTGAGGAATCTGAGTTTAAAACAAAGACGAAGAGATCGCCACGAAACCAGAGCAATTCTAAACGGCCTCGCGATGACACCTCGGCCTCAGAGAGTTCTGAGCAGGAATACAAACCCAAGAGGAAGTCGAGAAGGAAACGCTCCACCGGCTCATCAGAAGAGGAGTCAGAAAATTCAGATAGCACGTCAAATCGACGGCGGAATCTCAGAACCCTGCCAAAAAAGAAATACATCAGTGACAACTCTCTGTCCGAGGAAGATTCTGCTTCTGCAAGCCAGAGTAAACAGAGGAACAGCAACAAAACTGCGAGAGCTTTGAGGGAAGACAGGTGTAATACGAGAGAGTCAAAGAGAACGTCTCCCAGTGAAACCAGGAATCAACCGTCTTCCAAGAGAAAACGTATTTACACTTCAGACTCCGAAGAAGACGGGGAGGTGAAGGTAAAGAAGGAGCCAGTGTCCAAGAACAATAAAAATAGCAGGTCAGGCTCCTCAAAGCGTCCCAGAAGGGAATCCAACCAAGGGGATGGCAACAGCAACAAGGAGGACACCTCTTCCCAGTCTGATTCCGGTGAGGAGGAGGATGTCAGTCATTCAAAGACGGAAAAGAAAGTGAGGCAGCCAAAACACAAACAAAAAAAAAGCTACAGCAGCAGCAACCACAGTTCTGATTCAGAAAGCGAGCAGTCGTCTTCAGCCTCTGAAAACTCATTTGCCAGCTCAGGGTCCCACAGCAGTCCAAAGAGGAGAAGTCACAGACAGTCTGGGATCGGTGGGAGGAGTGCCAGCCGCCAGCTGAGGCAGCGCCGGCAACGAGCCGCCTCCGAGGAGGAGGAAGAGGAGGAGTACAGTGATGACTCATGCAGCAAACCCCAACGGAAAACGCGTGTAAACACCCGCAACCGGGGGAAGCGGACGGTAAATTACCACGACAGCGAATGAAGGACGTAGCGGCTGGAAACAACGGGCTGTCGAGGAGGAGAGACAGAAAAAGGACATTAACTGGAGACCTTAAAGACACTTGATGGCCATGTTATGGTAGTAGCACTGGAGTCCTCGAGAGAAAATGCTGTGAATCTGTTTCATTCAGGGATATTTATATTTTCTATGAAAAAAAAATCATGTTTATAGATGTAATACAAATTCAAGCATTTGATCTGCTGGTTTTCACAAGGATGCAGAGCTGAACGCCACCTCTCATACTGCTTGTTGTAATTTTGGCCAGCAGAGTTACCATTCTGGGGGATCTTTGTCAGCTTGGGTGCTATCTAATATACCTCTGTTTAATCAAGCATATTGCTGGCTTGCACTAAGATACACTGTAATGAGGTATTTCATACACTAGTTTTGCATTAGAAACTCAGGGGTCAACTAAGTTTACTGTAGTCTCAGACATGCAGTTGTTTTTCGAGCTAACGTAAGGTTAAGAGACGATTCCAGGTCGGCAGATGTCGAAGCACACTCACTGGGACAAAAACAAAATCGAGTTCAGAATTAAGACTACAGCACTCCTTTGTAAATCCACAAACACTTAATGCTTGACTGTAATTTTTTTTTTATATGAGCCAAATGAACTAGTATGTTTTCCCCCCATACATTTCATTTTTTTCATTAATTTTGTGTTTTATTCTAGTGAATAGGTGTAAATATGTGATTGAGATTGACATCGTCTGAAAGGTTAGCTCAGTCAGTAGCAAAACCTTTATTTAAATTTGAGGTTTTTTTGTTGTTTTTTTTTTTACATTTAACTGCATTGTCTTGCCATATGTCACAAATTGGTACGTTTTGCCAAGTACAAGTAACCAAAAGTACTCACTGCAAAATATTGTGATTTCTCATATTGGGAAGACTTTTTATTGTCCTGTGTTACCTATTTTCAGTATTAAATTCTTTTTCAGAGTTGTCTTAAAACATTTTTGCCAGTCACTTGGTTTAGTTTTGTTTATGGGGAGGTTTCTAAATAGTTGCTTTGACAGTTTTGCTTAATGTTTTTCGTACTACACCTTTAATAAACCGATTTCACAGGAAAACTATTAATGCAATGTGGTTGTGGAGTGCAATGAACTGAGTTATTCCTCCTATTAATAAAGACATCATTTCAAGGTGTATTCTGTGTCTGACTTCATCTTATGCATTGCCATCGTGAGCATGATCCACTGTTCTCCTGCAGGTTTACACTATTCTTTCAAATTCGGTGCCAACATTTACTTGGACTCAATTATTACTAATTACATCTCAGGGGTCAGAGCTCAAGGAGACCTCATATAAGTGTGGGAAAAGAATTTATGTAGACTGAGACTGCACTGTTTGGTGGAGGCAAACAGTCGCATGGTGGTTATTCTAGTTTGTCACAAAACGTACCTAGTTTTACTGTGTGAACCCATTGCTGTTCCACCTTAAATCCACAATTGATTAAATCTAAGTTTGGACTTCTCAACAATTAGATCTTAATCAGTTAATTTTTTCTAGTGGTAAAGAAGTAGAGAGTAAGAAGTATAATGATATACATGTGTCATTTAAAAAGGAGCTTATGGTTGCTTGCTGAAAAGGAATTTGATTTTGGAGGTAGCAATCATCTTACCTGCAATTTGTTTTTGCTTCATGGCCAAATGGCCCTTTAAATATTTTGTGGCATTGAGGACTTTCTGTATTTTATGTTTTTGTTATATTTCAGAAAAGTATATATATATATATACTAAAACAAATGTAGTCAAGCATTCAATATTTCAAGACAAAACTGGTTACTGATTTGAAAGATCAGTAACTTTAGTAATAATTTAGTAATTTATCAGCAATTTATCAGCTTCTAATTAAACAACTCAAAGAGATTGTCTCTATTGCACACAACATATACAAGTATTTATTTGTGTGAAAAAAAACTATATGAATTTGCAGAGTGGCTGAGAACTACCTGAAATAAGTAATTTAGTCTTCTGATAATTTTGGTCTTCTGTTTATCACTATTTGAAATATATTTTTGCACATCTTATACGTATATGTATAAATATTAAACATAAATAAGATGCTATAGTGTGAATGATATGAATACGGAGATATGAATTATTAAGATTAAATTCAGTGTTTTGAGTCAGCACCAAACTTGCCTGCTTTTATCTTGAAGGGCTTCTAAAAAAAGAAAAAAACCTTCACAATAAAAGTCATTTAAAACCCGGCGGCCAAACGTCGCGTCGGCGTGATGACGTCATGTTTTCATATCGATACTTACTCGCACTTTCGACGGATCTGAATTGTACAGTTCGCAATGATGCTTTCTTTACTCAATAAAAATATTGCAGTTCGTGTGTGATACTATATACTCACAATATGTTTTCATGGAACGAAGTTCATCGATAATTGTTAATATATATATTTATATCTTTTCACGAAAGTACCAGCTTTAACCGTCCCTTGTATTGTCTTCCATTGATAGCCAGTGTGCTAACATGTGAGCGGGTATGTATCAGACAGTTATCACACGTCACTAAAACAACCAGTGTGTGATTCAGTGAGTAAAGTACAGAGAAGCGTGTAGAATATACTAACGTTGTTTACATTAGTTATTTACGTTTCCGGCTCTTGTTGACTGGTTGACGCTAAAGCTAAAGTGTAGCATGTCCTCTGTCAGTCACTGTGAGCGCTACAAACCCCAGTAGACAACAACAGGACACAAAGCTGAGGGGACAACATGTCTACGTGCAATAGGCTGCTTCACTTTGTGAAGCACAGGAGTGTGTGGACCAGTGTCCGGAGACATGTCACCACATGGTCTCCTGTGGGAGCTGCGTTCAATACCAAGCCTGTCCGGAGACTGGACACGTTGGACAAGAGCGTGGTTCGTATTTGTCTTACATGATTGAATAATCACAGCACTGCAGCGAGTTATACACACATGTTGTATAAGTCTGTGGTAACAATGATATGATCCTGTCTGTCTCTCTTTCCACTGTCTGTCTGTTTGTGTGTGTGTCTCTCTCTCTGTCTGTCCATATGGCTGTTTGTATCTCTGTCTGTCTGTCTCTCTCTCCTCGTGTCTCTGTCTGTCTGTCTCTACCTGTTTCTCTGTCTCTTTCTTTGTCTATACGGCTGTATGTGTCTGTCTGTCTGTCTCCCCCTCCTTGTTTCTCCATCTGTCTTCCTCTCTGTCAATATGGCTGTCTGTCTGTCTCTCTACATGTCTCCCTCTCTGTCTGTCTCTCTACATGTCTCCCTCTCTGTCTGTCTGTCTCTCTGTGTCTGTCTGTCTCTCTACTTGTCTCCCTCTGTGTCTGTCTGTCTTTCTACCTGTCTCTTTATCTCTGTGTCTGTCTGTCCCTCTGTCTGTCTCTCTGTGTCTGTCTGTGTGTAACAGGGTTTGTTTGGAGTCCCAGAGCTGAGCTGTCCTGCAGGTTTCCAGGTCGCCACAAAGACGTCTCTGAAAAACACGGAGCTCCTGGTAGAAAAAGTTTGTTCTTGTCCTCCATGTGCAGAGACTGTGGAGTCTTTTGACCAGCTGTCGGATGGGTTGTGTAAAGTGGCCGATCTGGTGAGTTGTAATGACACTACAGTCATTTTACAGATAGTTTGCAACCCAAGCAGAGAGTATGGAACTTATCCATCAGTAGAAGTTAGCAGTCATGCTCTGAATAGCTGCTGCTCGTATGTAACAATCAATCTAATATTACAAACTAGAATGGCAGTCACCTCCACAAAGACCAATCTGTCTCCTGAAATTAAAACAAGCCTTATAGTTTAGGCCACCTTCTGTTTCTCAGCTTCACATTGATGGTAGTTACAGGTTTCTAGCTCTATTTGTTATTGTAAGCCACATCCCTACCTAACCACATTTAGATCCTCGAGATCTCGAGCAAACCAAACATAACCTCCTTGGCTGAGACAACTAATGTATTCACAATAATTTGTGATATGTTACATGGAGTGCATATTTACAGTCTGGCTGGTGTTTGGTCATTATTTTATTGAGCTATAAGTGATATGTAACTATTTCCCCTCCCCAGGCCGACTTTGTAAAAGTGGCTCATCCTGATCCCGCTTTCCGTGAGGCTGCAGAGAAAACCTGTATAGCGATCGGCACAGTTGTGGAGAAGTAAGAGGCGACATATTTATCTCATCTTCAAAAATACGTTTTAAAGCCAAGAATAATTACCAAGAAAAACCTATTACATTACACAGCTTGCAACAGTTTGACTCCACTGGTCATTGAAAGACTTTTATTCCTGTGTGCTTTAGTTAAGACAGATCTTGGAAGCTCTTAAAAAAGTTGCAAACAATATATTTTCAGACTGAACACTAATGTTGAGTTATGCAAGAGTCTGAAGAATCTGCTGGACAACCCAGATGTTGTGGCTCAGCTGGACCCTGACACAAGGTAACGTTACTATTATCTTATTTAGTTTTATTGTAGAATCTGTTGGAACCACTGTGGATAAATAATTATCTCTGTCCACAATTGCATCAATTATGATCTCATGACCAGCGATTGACTGTTAAACATTCCTCGATGTTTCTCTCTAGACGAGTAGCAGAGTTGTTCATGTTTGACTTTGAAATCAGTGGAATTCATCTGGATGACAAACTGGTGAGTTGGTCATAAAAGTGCAGTCGCACCTCACAATCACCTGTAAAAGAGAAGATTATGAGAATGATCCACAACAATACATAATGAAAAACATCAGCGTACAGTGTTCGAGACCTCTTCCTGGTCTCACAATGTGGTCTCAGACTGTATTTTCTGATCTCGCTGCTCTGGTCCCTGCAGAGGAAAGAGGCGGTCGCTCTGCACGTGAAGCTGTTGGATTTGAGCAATGAGTTTTTGGTCGGCTCTCACATGCCCAACAGAATTGCGAGGTCTGTGATTCCTGAACATCTTCACCTGCACTTTGCAAGTGAAGGAAGCTTCATCCAAGTTGGGGGGCTGCATGCAGACACCCCTGATGACTTGGTATGTATTTACATGGCCGCCAGAATGTTTCTCCCTTTCTGTCCAGCAGGTGGCACCCTTGTCACCCTTGTTACTGAAAGTAAAGGAATTCAACCCTCTGTAAAAAAAAAAAAAAGCTTTTGTTTTTTTCTCAGCAGTGTTGTTAATAAATATTCTCTACTCTTACAGTGAGCATCGTTGTAGCTTTAAAATCATAGACAATATATTCTGAAACTTTACCTTTCTAGTTATTTAGCTTTACAATTACAGTTATTTCAAATATATATATTTATGTGTTTATGAATGCATATATAGTTTGCTTTTATTTGACATTTCTCAAATGTCTTCTGCACTTCTGTTATTTACATAAAAGCTATCATTATGTATACAGTTGAAAGCTATGAAAGCATTGTATTATATTATATTTGATATAATCTTACTATAATTACAGAAATGACATTATTAGTTCTCATGAGGGGTGATTAGTATATCCCAGCAATGTGTAAAGTCAAATTACTGCCTAAATCACATAAAAACAGACAGTGCAGGTATAGGTGAAGTAAAAACCGTTTATATGCTAGATCATCAATAGGTCTCACAGCCTGGCTTCTAACTATTGATCAATAGATTGTGTTGTTCGCTTAAACAGTGTTGCTAAATTGATGCTTTAGACCCGTTAATCATGAATCTTACCCTGTCTTTCACTCATAGGTGCGGGAGATTGCCTACAGGATCTACCTCTATCCTAATGCTGACCTGATGAGGTGTCTGGAAGAGCTGCTGGAGTGCAGATACAAAATGGCCAAACTGGTGGGCTACGAGTCGTACGGTCACAGAGCCCTGAAAGGAACGATGGCCAAAACACCAGGTTCATCAATCTTTTGCTTCAGTGTAGTTCTCATGAGTCAGAGCTGTAACTGTCTGATTGATTGATAGAGAGCGTATGAAAAGATTAATTTCATCTCATATTTAAATGTTTCTCATGTAGTAATTCTAAAATTACACAGCTATACAGAAATTATTTTTCTAAGCTGCTCGTTCTGTGTCTTTGGCAACTGATCTAAGGAAGTTTTAAAAGCTGCAACTTTATTTTTTATTACCCTATGCAGAGACGGTGATGAGCTTTCTGCAGTTGTTAACAGACAAGCTGTCAGACAGGTACAGTCTCCTCTTTTAAGTTTGTCTACAGGTTGTTGTCATGACCTGATTTTTGTTTTATATCATTTCTTTAATTGGCTAGGTAGTTAAAGACCCATTAAATCACTTATTTTCTTTATTGTTAAGTATAATATAAGTTGGTGGATCATTAAACACGTGACGTCCAAGAGTCGTAATTATTTTGTCTCAGTTGATTCACATTCAGAAGACCTCAGGCTTTTGGTTTATGTTTTTATTAACGTGGATTCTTTGTGCTTGGGATTCCTCAAAAACACACGTACACACGTCAGGTGGCCCCTTGACGCTCGAAATTACCCACAGGTGTGAACGTGAGCCTGTTAGCCTGGCAGCCTGTCCAGGGTGTTTCCCTGCCTTCAGCCAAATGCATGCTGGGATAGGCTCTGCCACCTCTTGACCCTGAGCAAGAGATGGCAGCATAAAGACTGGAATGAATGCCTCCAGTCAATTAGCTCATGTCTTGTTTTGGTGTTTTTCTTTTTATCTCACAGAACAGCACAAGACTTCAAGATGATGAGCGACATGAAGAAGAAACTCAACCCTCGTAATTCTGTGAGTGATCTCTGTGCACAAATGTTCTTTACACACAATGATCTCCTGTTCTCCACTACAACATTATAGAGAATCCTGAAATATTACACAGTTTCCTCCGTCAGCATGTCAACAGTATAAAGTGCTTAAAGGTTTAACATGAGCTTTTGATATGAATGAGCTTCATGCTGCCTATAAATCATTTTCATTAGTTTGATATCACCTCTAAATAAAACAGCTCCTGGTCTCGTCTTACAGGAGCTGATGCCCTGGGATCATCCGTACCTCAGCGGTGTGTTGCGTGCTGAAAGGTGGGTGTCTGCCATCTTCATGAGACATATCTTCTAGCCTGCTGTTATTTGATAAAGTCATCTTGATCAGTATCTTTGAGATAGTTTTCTATATTCTGGCATAGTACAAGTTGTTATTGCAGCTGAGCTCTTCCTCAGGTGACAGATAAAACAAAAGGTGTTAAGGGAGAAGCATGGGAGTAGTCAAGCTGTTCTCTCATATTACTTTTCTGATTCAGGACAATACAGTCTGATATAATCGTCCTCTGCTGCTTCAGTCTGTGGTTCTTCTTTGTTGGTGTTTGTAGCTGTGGCATTTTGGGCTGATTTTTATGTTGAGCTCGGCTTCACAGTGTTCCTTACACAGAGTATTGATATTGAGTTTCAGACAGTGCATTATGCAGCTGCTAAAGCATTTCAACACTAATGTTTTGTCATTTAAGATATAATATGTAACAATTCTTCATGAAAACGTCTAAATATAGGTCCAGTGAAGAGTATATTGCCTTTTAATTGCATCACATCCATTTCACCTGTGACTTTAAACATCTCTGCTATAACTTTCGGGGCAAACAACGTATGATGAAGGAAAAACTCTCTGCAAGCCAGGTAGCCTGTTTTCCTTCCACTGTTTGTTTTAGTCACTCGTAGTGGATCAGGATTATTTGTTGCAGTCTGTTGCGTATCATGAATAAAACTTTGACACATCACCTCATCCGTGAACACGATTTGTGCCTGAGGTAGATTTTCGTCGACAGGGTGGTAAAGAAAACAACTCCCATGACTCCACACTGCTTCACAACGTCTTCAAACTAGGTCTTCTTTATTGTTTTGATACAGAGAACCCTAAATATTGTGCGTTTAACCGGATTAAGATGGTAGTCGGAATAAGACACCGCCATGTAAACAGCATTTTCTGATTAATTTACCCTGAATAAAGTCATAATCAGAATAAAAAAGTAATAATCAGAATAAAAAAGTAATAATCACAATAAGACAGATTATTCTGACCCTAGTCACATTATGTAGACCGTTTTCAGAGCATTTTGTTCCAACAACATACGACAGTTACCAACTGATTGACGACACATGCTCTGGGTTTAAGTGTCAACAAGATGGAGAAATTTTGAGGAGTTGAAACTTTTGCATTGTTAAAAACACTCAAAATGGTAAAAGGTAGCATTGTGCATAACAGTATGTCTGGTTCGGGTTTTAAAATTCTGGTGGGAACATTGGATGTATGACGTAGTGGAGGTAGTAATATTGACATGTCAAAAATAGGCTTGACATATAAATGAGAATATGATTGGAATATTCTGTGAGCAATTTAATGGAAATAATTTCTTATTCACAATCAGAATATCGCTGTCCATGTAAACACAGTCACTGTGGCACAACTGTAGCTACACATTTTAATCTCATCTTTCTCTCTGGCTGTAAAGTATTAGGTGCTGGTGATGATCTTGACTTCCTCTCGTTTTTCACCTAATTTGACTTGATCAGGTTTTAATTCTTTTCTCATTTCAAACTCATTAAACTGTTTATTCACGTCGCCACGTACTAAATTTAGCTGTTGAGTTTTTTTTTTACAGATATCAGTTCTTAATGAACTATCCTTTCCCTTCCTAGCACTCACCAGAGACTGGTAACACACTGGGCCAAACGTTCTGGAGAAGTTTTAACTAAATCTTCATTGCAGATGTTATAGATCCCTCATGTGTCCTTTGGATTCAAGCAGCCACCAAGTTGTGTGTGTGTGCAATACCATGTCTCAGGGGTTCCCAGGGTTTACTGAGGAAAAGGAGTGCATCTTGTCCTCCACCCTCATGCTGCCACTCGTCCAGCAGAGGAAGACTCCAGACTTCTCCAGTTTGTGGTTTTGGGCTCTGCTTGTTGGCAGGAGATCCAAAAAGAAATTAAAGATGCAGTCTGATTGCATTAAAAAGCAGTTTCCCTAGAGCTGCCTCCATTTTCCACCACACACCCATGTGTGTCTCTCTATAGTTGTGAGGACACGCATTGATATACTGCATTTCCTAGACCCTTACCCTAACCATCACAACTACATGCCTAACCCTAACCTAAACCCTCATTATAACGCTAACCCTAAAACCAAGTCTTAACCTTAAAAAGCCAAATAAAATTGTGAGGACCAGCCAAAATGTCCTCACAACTTCAAAATGTCCTCACAATGATGGTATTGAACCAAAATTGGCCCTCATAACTATATATAGACATGCCCACACACACACACACACTGAGAAATGAGCTGAGAAACCTCACTCACTCACATACTTTTCTATTAATCTGTTCAATCTCCAGCCGTTGAGAGTTGGAGATTGATCAAACCTTATTGAAATGAAGTACAGTGTGTGTATGTGTGTGTGTGAGTACATGTGTAGCTGGTAGCTGTGCTCAGCAGCAGTCTGTTATTCATCACTGATAATAAAACACTAGATGTGGCACTAAACAACCATTTTGGTCTGCTGCTCTTTATCTAGTGCTGTGTGGCCCAGGGACAAGAAGCTTGTGGCATTGGCCAACAAGCTCAGGTCATAAATGTGCAATGATTCGTAGATTCTTCTGGCATTTAAATGAATCATGTGTGGTCTGCACCAATAAGAGCTGTGTGGAAGATTTGAGTGTATACATATGTTTATTTGAATTAGTTTCCACTTTCCTCAGTGGACTAGAAGATGGGATGTAAAGAAAACACTAGATTACTTTGCATTAGGGACACATCTCATCTTTTATCCCCGTAGTTGCAGATGAGACTGGTATCCCTTCTGTTTTCATATACATTTGCTATTAAATGAAGACTATTTAAATCAAAGAAGAGTGAGACTGAGGGTTTAATCTGATTACTAAATGCAGCAACTCTGGCAAATCCTTTATTCATGTTTTAAATAATTTCTTGTAAAGGAAGTCAAGACATTTGTTTGGAAAAGGTTGATCGCATCATGACAATCAAGATTCTTGCATCTTTCAATTCTATATTCCATTTTATATTTTATATTTTTATTAGGTACAACATAGAGCCCAGTCTGTACAGTCCCTACCTGTCTCTGGGTGCCTGTATGGATGGTTTGAACAACCTCTTCTCTCAGCTCTACGGTGTCTCCCTCATGTCTGAGCATCCCAGTGCCGGAGAGGTTTGGAGCGAGGACGTCCGCAAACTGGTGAATCTCCCTTACTCTGCAAACAGTCTGTGATTGTGCTCAGTCTTTATGTTAATGACATTTCAGTGCCTCTTTGTAATGTGTATTATGATTTAATGTTGTTGGTTGAAGCCTGTTTGCAAATACAGCTGTTAAATAATTGTGTTTGTGTTCTTCTAGGCTGTGGTACATGAGACGGAGGGGCTACTGGGATATATCTACTGTGACTTTTTCCACCGCTCAGATAAACCTCATCAGGTTTGCAAACATTCATTTATTTTATCTGCACCTCTCTTCTTACTACCAGTTGTGTTTTCAGTGTAAAATACATGCTAACTAATAGAAGAACTTTATTAACAAGATAATAATAATAGTATAATATTTATTACTATATTATAGAAAACAAGGATCACACAATACAGCTAATCACACAAACAATACAAATGTGAGTCAAATAGTAAGAACAAAATTGGGAAAAGGAAGTAGTTAAATAAATTATTAACACATGTATATTTATATGTACATTTTTTAGCTGAAATTCCTGTCCTGTCAATAAAAATGAAATGTCTTGAAAATAAAAGCAAGTCAGTAGAAACAGAAAAAACAAGATGAAGTGGCACAGTTAGTGATATAGACAGTTCTCCATGCCAGTGACAAAATATCATCTACATTATTATAATTTTTTGTTAATCTCCCTGCCCACTTCTGGCCTCATGTCCTCATCCCCCTCCCAGGACTGTCACTTCACCATCCGTGGCGGCCGCTGGTGCGAGGAAACGGGTCAGTACCAGCTACCGGTCGTGGTGCTGATGCTGAGTCTGCCCCACCCGTCCAAGAGCGCCCCCACCCTGCTCACCCCAGGCATGATGGAGAACCTCTTCCATGAGATGGGGCACGCCATGCACTCCATGCTGGGACGCACTCGCTACCAGCATGTCACAGGTGAGGTGTGAGCACACACAGAACATCCCGGTTACTGTAACCGTGGGTCAGGTTAGTCAGGATTTATTTAACTTGCAGAGGATGTAGAGAACTGGGAACAATCCAGCAACGTTGGAGATGATTGATGTTTGACACTTGATGAGCTCTTTGTCACAGATTAGAATTATGTTGTTAGATACAGAGATATAGGTTGTCACATTACAGTGTGGCGCATTCAAAATTGAGGGTGAATTGGAAAGTTGAAGCCCTGAGGAGAGGTTTACATCATCTTCAGGTGCCAAACCTGTTACTTAAAACTGTTTCACTTGTCAGATAAAGTTGATGGATTCCTTTTCAAGTAATTTAAGATCCCAAATGTATTTATTTACACTAATAACAGTATCCGTTAATTCAACTGGAGGCTGTTTCTTCAATGGACACCATGTTTATGCCTGTTTAGACATGTGGCTCACAACAGTTTCGTTACCAGTAACTTAATGCTGCAGTTATGACTCCATGCCAGTGACAGCCTGAGGCATTTGTTTGGGTTGTCTGTTCCATTCATGTGAACACGATACCTCAAGAATGCCCTGAAGGAATGTCTACAAATGTTCGGTAGAACTCTTAGATGAAATTATTAGAATTTGGTCAAATGTCCAGGTCACTGTGACCTTACAAAACAACATGATTCTTTCAAATTTCCCCGATTTCATTTTTTCTCATACGTGAGCTCTGTCTCTCCTCCAGGAACCAGATGTGCAACAGACTTTGCCGAAGTCCCGTCCATCCTCATGGAGTACTTTGCAACTGACTATCGAGTCATCAGCCAGTTTGCGCGCCATTACCAAACTGGACAGGTACTAAACTAAACCCTCAAAATAAAGACTAATGTGAAGACAGATTTGCAAAAGTGTTACTCGATGACTGCAGAGACTTTTTTCCAAATATGTCCATTCTAGTAATGTTTACTCCTTTATTTTTCATTTTATTCTCGAATCTTTCCATGATGATTGAATGAATTTCGTTTTATAATCTAAAAATGTGGACATGAATTTTTGATTGTCTCCTCAGCCTCTACCTGAGAGTATGGTGGCTCGACTGTGTGAGTCAAAGAAGGTGTGCGGAGCTGCAGACACCCAGCTGCAGGTACAACTAGTCCTACACCCTTTCACTGCTAAGGCTCATTTATGCTCAACGTTAAATGGAGGGAGCTTTCTGTCCGAACTCTGCGTTCATGTCGTTCATAATTGTGCATGTCTTCTGAAAGCTTGTGGATACGAAGAAAACAGATGGAGCGGAGCAGTACCTCCAGAAATCATGGGGGGGCAGTGTAGCAAATATAGAGAGACAACCGTTGGACATTTCAACGAAGAATCCACAGTGGACATGTCACAATATATTTAATGGCCTCACAGACGACTGCAGTTTTCAATGGGGTCGCTTTTTTTTTCTTTCTTAAGAGATAAATTATCGCGACACTCTTGACTGTGCTGCCCTCTAGTGGATGTATTGCTTAACAATCGCGGCAACATCGAAGCATGAAGGCCGTGATGGTTACATGGATTTAAACGGACGTTTCACTTATATACGTACTATCATCAATGAGTCTTAAATATTATCCCTCCTTAAAAAGCTGTGAATATGGCTTGGAAATCAAGAAATGCATTACAGAAACACCTAATCACTGAGGAACAGAGCGGTGTTTGAGGAACAGAGTGGTGTTTGAGCACCGGCTTCACTGTTTCTTAAAGTCATGACAGAAAGCAGAAGATTCAGTGTTTTGATAATGAACATTCCTTCAATGTTGAGAGCCTCCAGAGCTTTAAGGATGAAGGATGCAGAAGTGTTACTTATCATAAACATTTAACAACAGCTGTTAGTTGAAGAGGTCATACAAACTTTTCCTTTTTAGTGCATGTGAGACCGCAACCAATATAGTTTGTTATTTCTGATTATATCATTAAACCATATTACATTTCTCTTGTTTTGCATTTCTGGTTTATTTGAGCAGATTAAGTCATGTCCTGGATGAAAACAGAAGAACATCTTGAATCTAGTCTAAATGTTAAATTCATTATAGAGGTTAAATAAAACAATATGCATTCTATTATTTTTTTCTACAGAGCACTCTGGGTCGGTCGCTGCTGTTAATTTTTTCTTCCCTCTACCTTTCTGTAGTTAAACATGTACTATATGTGCAGGACTGATTCAGCAGAAAGTGTGTTTTTCTTCTTACTGGACAGATTTTCTACGCAGTCTTGGACCAGATCTACCACAGCAAACCTCAGAACTGCTCCACCACGGAAATCCTGAAAGAGATGCAGCAGAAATTCTACGGCTTGCCTTATACTCCCAATACGGTACAGAAGCTGCTCCTAAATATTATATCACGAGATCTGTTAGAGACTTCGAGGTTGTTGACGATTTGGGGAAAGTTCTGCTCATGATTCCATGAAGACTCGTCTCACTACCCAGTTGATCTCAGGACTTCTTTAGCTTTCTATTCTCCTTTTTCTTTCCCCACGTTCTCTCTGCTTTTATATCTTTTACCCAGGCTCAGTAGCATTTAAGGGATTAAAGTCTTTTTTGAAGCCCTTCTAAAATAACAAAGCAGAGGTATACTTTGAATGAGACCTCCCCGGGGGAAATATTTGAAACTCTTGGTCCCAGTCCTTTAATGAAAAAAGCTCAATTTCCCCCACTTTTACAGCTGTGGGCGAGGGGATGAGGTTAGGAGGGAGAATGGAATATAAAAAACGGCCATAATTTAGCTAGGAATGGCCCTCATGGAGCATTTTACTCTGGTCTGTAATTATGTGGGGTGCCATCTGAAATACAGATTTCAGAAGTGCCGTATATTCTCCCAATTCTCGGGGTCCTGGCCACAGTTTCTCCTAACAGGCGCCCTCCCACACTTTTGCCTGTGCCCTCCGTTGTAGCTCCCTCTCCAGAGACTGTGGTTTATGTTATGCAGTTTCCCACTGTCAGAGTTATTACTCCTCAACTTTTCAAACCACACTGAAAGCTCTAACAGGCACTTCACCTCCATGTGCACGGCCAACCACAGCAGGATCATTTCCCTCATGTGAAATGAGCACGATTGTAGCCCTTGACGATCAGGAATCGGATCATCATTGGATCAGTGTAAGTGAAAACAGATTTGTTTAGATCCCCCAGTGACAGACTCTACTTAAACTTGTCTTTCTTGTAAATTCAACCTCTGAATCTCTCTGTGTCTCTCCTCACATCCTCATGGAAACACAGCAGAGGAAAAATTTCCACAGTAAAGCAAACGTTAGAGTGGCTAATAGGTTACGGAGAGCCACGGATTATAAACATTAGGGTGACGCTGACATGTGTATGGTTTATAGAGCAGGGCTATCAGGTCCGGCTGTGCACTGAGAGAGAGGATCAGCTGTGAGTAACACAAACCACATGCTCACCCTTGAGTTGAGGATAATATTTGGAAATAAATGGCAGAAAGCAAAATGTTCTTTTGACTGTGTTGACATTTCTGTAATCTGCGATTCTTGGCTACGATGCTTTAGGACCAAGTGTTTGTTTCTCTTGTGTTTTAATTTTTTTAATGCAAGTGCCCGCTCACAGTGACTATATTTACATGGGCAGTAACCTCTAAAACATATTTTACATGTGAATATACAGAATACAGGACAAGATTTTGGGGACAGAAGCCTTCTGGGTTCTGTTTCTAGTTCGACTATTCATGTATGAGCAGGCTTTGGTTGCCTGCAGGTAAACAGTCCATGAGGAGAGCAGAAGAGCTGAAACACATTGACCCGAAATGCATCAGCTTCTTAATTAATCAGTATTCACATGCAGATAGCTGTTAATAGACTTTAATCAAAATGTCGTCTGGACCTAAAACACCTCCAGTTTTTGTTTTGTGTGAGAAACATTTAAATTGTGTGATAGAAGGAGCTAGTTGGACTGTAAACATGGTGAAAGGAAGAGTCTTGGCCTAAATACTCAGATTGCATGGACAGCAATATTTATTAACTTTATTCAGAATGAGACATCATTTCAACTATGTTTATATGAGTTGCTATTTGAAAATTCTATTCATATTCAAATAAATTTTTTAATTTCAATTTTTTTAAATTCTGTTTACATGTTACAGTCGGTCAAAATTACATCCTAATACTTGTTTACACTTGAACCCAGGACTTATGTTGTCAGGCAGTTCGTAACTATCACATGTCGATGATGTAAATCATCTGAACAGGACTTTATATACATATTAAAGAAATAATGTAAAAAAAGGATAGAATAATCCACATGACTTTATTTGATTGTTTTTTATTCTGAGTATGACCTTATTTAGGTTTAGGTAAATCTGAAATGCTGTTTACAAGGCTGTGTTTTAATACAATCATTTTCTTCATCAGGTGACAATCAGAATGTTGCTGTCCATGTAAACATGTCAAATGTTCCACGTTCTGTGTAGTTGGACAAAAACACCTCGAGTCAAGTTTGGAAAGTACAAAAACCATCTGTCATCTCATGTACAAGTAGAACAGAGTAAAAAGCCTGCACTGACGTTGTGTCCTTTTGTATGTAAGGATCAAAAGGAGATCTCACTGACATGTGACCCACTTACTCTCTCACAGAAGTTGACATTAATCATTTGATGCGTGGCTAAGGGAGTGGAAACAAAGAAGGAGCTCAGAAGTCTAAAAAATCATTTTCATGGCGTATGTTTAAAGCATTTCACCAAAGACCAAACAGCTCTTCAGTAGCTGCTTCATGTTTCAAAATACAGTAGAATCACTGTTCAAATGAAAGGCTGCGGTTCCCATAGGATAAAACTTAAATTAAAAGAAAATATGAACAACAGAGCGTCGCCCAACTTCTGTCAACAGTCCCACACTTTGTGAGTTTGACTTTAAACAGTTAAAACAGACTTTTTGTGATTTACACCACCCAAGGCAGAGTATCACTGCTCCATAAAGGCTGGGAACACAGACAAACTGTTTACTCTTATTAAAGTCACTATGGCCCAGAAGAGTCTCGACAAGTTAACACTGTGGGGCTTTAAGTATATTTACTGCTGGGTCAGTCCGCCAACAGATTAAAGTGATCAGTTCACTGTGTATAATGTCAGAAGAGGTCAATTGTATCTATGAGAAGACAGAATTATGTTTTTTATGCAACTTTGCTACTCCCCTCAACTCACTGGCCCTTTTTTATCATCTTAAACTTAATGCAGGGTGGATGTGCAACATCTACAACATCATAAAATATGTCAAATTAAACTTTACAAATAAAAGACCTTAAGAGGTTTTATAGTGTCTTACATTCAAATTGGGCACTTAGGCAAGTCACTGCGAAAGTTAGAAAATTGCTCTGCTCTACCAGACTGAATAAGAATTATTAGTTCCAGTGAATGCTGCGTTGTGAGTCTATCTTGATATTTGAAATGAGTCCAAATGAAATCTAAGCTTAATTTGCACGTGTGCAGTGTGTAAATAAGCAGCTTTTTGCCATTTGCCCCCAAGAGGCCAAAAATAAAAGAATTCAAGGTTACATACAGTATACTGCTGTATAATTACAGTCTCTAATCACAAAGAGAAATTAAAATATACCTAGATTTCTTCTAACTCTTCTGCTCCTGAAGTGTGCAGGTCATCTGTGTTCAAACACAGCACATATGTTGCACACGTTATTCTTGTATTCAGATAATAATTGTACCTGCATTTGGAGTTTGAGTCAATAACATGTTATTTTAATGTGAAGATGGAAGAAAGCATCTGCAGTTTGTTAGGTTTGTTAAGTATGGCAGCTGCTGTCTCCTCTAACAGGCTGAGTGTTTGAGTGTTTGCCAGCTGAATTCCCCCACAGTCCCCGCTCACAAAGATCATAAAAGAGCTCGTCTTTATAGATATGGAGAGGGGCCCACCTCAGGCAACTACAGGGGAAAAAGAGGGGAGAAGAAAGGGGCTTTCTACCATTTAGGAATTTCCACGTTTTGTCCTTTAAATTAGGAGCTAGTGTGTTTTGTTATAGAGGTTTGTTGGATGACAGTTTTATTTATTCCACTGATATTTCTATAATGAAAGCAGCTGAGAAGATGATGACATGTTTCACATATTTATTGGCAGACTTCATTTTCTTTCCCTCCATATCAGTGGAGTGTTGAAAGAAGAAGGTTGAGATTTTATTGAGATGCTTTTGATGTAAGCTTTAGTTTTATTTTCAGCTTTAATAATAGTCTACAGCCTCACATTGAGTCTCTCACTGGAATAGGTAACTGTAAACATGGAGCAGCTTCTCTCAACAGGTTTTACGACCACAGACGTTCAAGCCTTGTAAGGCTGTGTGACGTCCTCTACACAGCATCACCACACACATTAAACCCATTATGCGTTTCATATTGTCAAAACTAATTCATAGTGACGGGGAGTAATAGCATGCTCTCTTTGTGTAACAGCTTTAATCAGGGGCCAGAATTCTGCTGTAACTTCTCTCCTGTGAGTTTGTTGTGTCACATCCTGTTGCCGTATTATTTTTAGTTCCTTTTCACTCAATTGAAGGTGATAATGTTGTGGTTTCTTCTTCTTTTTTCATTTACGGTATAGGCATGGCAGCTGAGATTCAGCCACCTGATTGGCTATGGGGCTAAGTATTACTCCTACCTCATGTCCCGGGCCGTGGCCTCAATGGTGTGGCGACAGTGCTTCGTTCAGGATCCTTTAAACAGGTGAGACTTGGCTTGATAGAGTTCGGATACTCAACCTAAGGGGATGTTGGGTTAAGACAAAAAATTTTAAATGTTTGGAACACTTGTGTAGCCATCATATTTAAGCTCTGTCTTTTTTGATGAAAATGATAAGAGTGATATTTAACAACATATATATGTTATCAACGAAAGCTGCACCACTTAATTTTTGCTGAATCAAATTAAATCCTCCTTAAATATAATTCTTTAAAACAGGTGGAGCCTCAGGAGTATATAAGTAAAATTCAGTGTTTTCCCAAAAGAGATACTAAAGACCCTTAATATCATCACAGAGGGCCACATCTATTTATAGACTCTCAGAAACTCTCATAAAATCACAAAATGATCACTCCAGGACTTCTCAAGGATGTCAACAAGACACGCACTGTCTGGACATTTTCCCTAAATTTTCCTGCCAGCCCCCAGTAAAATGTCCAGAGTGAGTGGGCAGCTGGAAAAAAGAAAAAGATGTCATGCACTGTAACCGTGAGCTCCATGGCAGAATTTATACGTTCTGACTCCTGGACGCTCTACACAGACACCACCCAGCCTGAATTTTCCAGACATTTTCCAGTTGTAGTGAACACATCAACCTGCTGCATTGTCCATATATGAAAGGAAAACTCTATTTATACAGACTCATATTCCAGAGTTATTGTCTAAAAACAGCTTTACACAGAGAACCTATGTAACATACTAGAGGAAAGAAAAAACTGAAAAGAAACACTCTCACTGCATGTAAGTGGCATCAATTCTTCCGGTTGGAAGTGGACAATTAATAATGATGTCTGAATTGAAGCCAAGTTTAAAGGACACGCAGCACCACAGGATGACCTGTAAAGCTGGAAAAATTGATTGTTAGGGATGGAGTGAGCAGGGCCGCTGGGGGAGATATGACTGAACCTCCAACTGATGCTATAATCACCCCCTCAGATCGAAGCCAATTTGTCAACATGTGCTGATCAGTAGTCGTGCAGATACTTGCCATTACATTTAAATTGTTTTGAAATGATGGTTTCCACTTCCTGGGTGCCTTTCCGCCCCTCAATATCAGTTTGGTCCACACATTTTTAAAATGATTGTGTTACAAACAAAAGAATAAATGGAAACAAAAAGAGAAATCAAGGCAAGACATTAAATCTTTAACTTTTAGAAGTATTTTAATCTTGGAGGAAAAAAAACATTATCAACACCTCGCCTATCTGCTTTACCTTTGAAATGTTTTCTGTCAGGAAGCAAACTTAATGCTGCAGGTTTTCAGATGATAGCATTAAAAAATAGTGTTTGAATTGAATAATGTCCTATGGATTAGAAAAGAATTGAAAGCCTCTACTTGTATCCCAAAGGTTATGAGGTTCACTGAGCTCCTGTACTCCTGAGTTATGACATCCAGACCCTTTTCAGTTACTTCTAACCTTGCATTCATGAGTTGAGTTACACAGATGTGGTGCAGGCACAACAGGAACCTGTTTTGTGTTTGGAGCACTGAGACAGATGCCTCCTGACAGGGTGCCTCCCCTGGATACTGTCTAAGTCTCTGCTGCCTGACATTGAACATGACATTAATGTGAAACCTGCACCTTGGGAGGTGTCTGCTGTAATTCACAGACACACATTACCAGACCCTCTCTATCACAAGTGTTCGCCCCTGGACATAGCACAAAGACACTTGTTTTGAAAAACAAAACCCCTACTGACTCCAGCCCTGCAGCACTCGCTCACTACTTCTCTCATTCTTCTCATTCTCTTTTTCTTTTCCTTCACTGTCTCTCTGTCTTCCTGTTCTTTGCTTTTCTTCTGAGAATGTTTTAGTTCCAACTGCAGTTATCAGATCTCATGTCACTTGTCTGTTGTGAACAGACAGCTTAGGAGACTTGGCCCTGGGCTCCAAGTTGTTGCGGCAGCAGTGGCGGAGGGGTAGAGAGAGTACGAGGAGCTGATAGGGGAGACTACAGGTGTTTGTAACCTTATCTCTTTCTCTCTTTTGTGTCTGCCTCTCTCTTTCTGTTTTTTTCAGGGACATGGGAGAACGTTACCGTCGGGAGATGCTGGCCCATGGAGGAGCCAAGGAACCCATGCTAATGGTGGAAGGTGCCGTACCATGTCAAAATATTTACCAGATGTTGCAAGAATCTTTTCCCTTTAACTCATATAAGTCAGTGAAACTGAGACATTTTATTACTCGTTCATCTGGAAAAACACCAAAGGCCCCACTTCTCTCTCCAGTGTCTATGCTCACCATTGTTCAATTCATTCATCCATTCATCTATACCACTTATCCTTTGGAGGTCGCAGGGCCAATCCCAGCTCACATTGGACGAGATCTGGGGTACACCCTGAACAGGTAGCCTGCGTGTCACAGGGTCAACAGAGACAAACAACCAGTCACACACACATTAACACGCACAGACAGTAGGTGATTTGTAGGTGGATGAGGAGGGATACCATCCCTTAGAAGCCAAAATTACCAAATCCCCATTTCTCATCAAGCCACTGTGAGTGTGTTAGTCTGGTTCATGTGGTTTGGCCAAGTCTGAGCTGGAGCCTCCACTTTTGCACACATTTACCATTTTAACACACCTTCCAAGCTTTTCTTATCTTTGTTTACAGGAGCTTTGTCAACTCTGAGACTATGGTAGGCTGCAGGGATATACGTTGTGAAGTCAGCTGCCTCTGCAGCAGTCACTCCGTATTCAGGCTGCTTTAGTCCAACCCTCTTCTAAGCCCACTTATTTGATCTTCTTAAAAAAATCTAAATGACTTTGAGTATCATGTTGCTTTTCTGTGCACAGACAAAATCTAGCTGGAGGGAAGACAGACATGGTTGATTATAGGTTTGAGTGATAAACAATGCTGACTCTGCAGGGCTGAGAGCACAGACTGGTACATTCCACTCTGTGTTTAACTGCTTAAGATCAAACACATTTTTAGCCATGCTTGTGACATGGCTCTAAAGACTGCCTTGTCAGCCATTTGATTCATTACTTTGGTTTTCGTTGATCCATCAAATGTCCCCAAATTTTGAAAAAATTATTCATGGACCTCAGACAATGAATCCTTCAAATTTTGTGACTACTGTCTTTTCATCTATGTCAGTACCAGGTCAGAATCTGAATTTGTCCAATGCTTTGGTTGATGACTAAATATCGGCAAAACTAATGCTATCACACCAAAGATGTACTCTGCATTATTTACCAATTATCGAATGTTAGTGTTTTAACAATCTAGCTCTCTGTGTCTTTCAGCCTTTCTCCGGGTTTTTAACCATCAAACTGTAGTTAATCAAAGGTGTCATTGAAGAAGCTGTCGTTTATCTTATCGGAATGTCATGCAAAAAAGGCTTCCTCCTGTTTTCCTCCTCACTTTGTGCTCCCGTCACTTCCTCCTCTCCTCCACTCCTTGAGAAGTCGCTGTGGCATGTCTCCACGGGACAAAAGAGGGGAGGATGAGAGGGAGTTGTAATATCAGGTGACATTTTGGGAGCATACTGTAAATCTCTCCCTCAGGGTCACCTCCTCCTCCCTCCTCCGTCAGATTGTCCCTCTGATGGCTCCAACTAGGGCTGCAACCAACCTCTGAAATTACAACCACCAACCAATCAGGTCTTTGTTACGAGATCTACCGTCCAGTTGACTGTTATTGAACTAACAATATTTGCTTTTATGGCTCCCGTTGAAGTGAGTGGCACTCTAATTATAGCCCCATGCCCTGTGTGCAGAATAGTTATCAGGGTCATATTGATCCCTCCGGCTGTCTTTCCCCTGCCATAAGTCATGGTATGAGGCTCAAGGCTGTAATAGTGGAAAATAGTAGTTTGTCCAAAGAATTACATTTTATAATAAAAACTGCAGATCAAATTAAAAGAGCCTTGAAATTGCTAGATGTTAGTTCCAGTGAAGCATTTTGGCAGTGTCCTATAATAAATTATATGATATTTGATAGTCATCTAAAAAAACATTTTTCTTTTAAAAAAACAAAAATATAATAAAATCTATTCTTGGTCTGGAGAATTGCTTAAACTAAATCCAAAACTCCCTACATTTTTAAAGAAGATTCCTTCAGCCTGTTTGCTATTTTGATGGATACATGTGTCCTCATAATTTACCATAACATCATGAGCGCTGAAGTCAGAGTTATAAAAGCACATCATTGCATGTGCTGAAACATTTAGCTTTTCGCCGTTCTTTGCCGTGGGGTTGAGAGGTTCATAGAAACCATCTTGAATTCATATTGGAGAACGGAAAGGGGTTTTGTAGCCAGTGAGAAGGGCCCTTTTTATATCTAAAGGAGGATTTAGGCCACGAGAGACCAGAGAACCAGAGGAAGGACACTGAATCCAGATCCAACTCAAAACTCTTTCGAGCAAAGATAAATGGAGGTGAGTAACATTTCCCTGCTGTCCCCTTTCGGCGAGTTGGTAGAGGGGACACAAGGGCACACTGGGAACCGGAGCAGGCCCGGCTAAGGCTAATCAGAGGCCAGTCTTTATCTTCATGGCTTGCTGCCCACTACTGGGTGTTTCCCAGCACAGACGATGTTGAAATGTAAACCTGAGCATTAAATCCAGACCAGCTGCACCAGGACTGAGTTAGCGAGGCAGGGAAAAAGAGAGAGAGAGCAAGAGGGAAGAAAAAAGGGGAGAAAGGGAATAGAGTGAAAGGTGAGCGACTGGATGAACTGAACCTCGGGTCCTGCTACAGAGAGGGCTTTCATGGGCCCGACTGTTCCCAGAGCTCAGGCTGCCGAGCACAGAAAATGGATCTACTTGGGCCAGGCAGCCAAGTCCCAGGACCCTGTTAATGCTTTGTCCGGAGGCAGCTCGACTGAAAAGCTCTTATGACTGCATGCATAGTTCCTAATAAACCCTAACAGCACGGTGGTCCGTACTGTCCCACAGCACTTCTGTGACAATGATGTATGGTTCTGTCTGACCTGAAGGAGAAAATAAACTTTACCGAAAAGAAGTAAAGCTGTAAAATACCCAATTTATAGCTGCTAGGTAAAAGCAGACATGATTTGTGATGATCTTTCACGGCTTCACACAATTCAGGTATCGAAGTGACTTATCCTTGATTTATTGAGAGGTGTTTGTTTTTTGATGACCACAGAGCTAAGAAGAGGAAAGTGAGGAAACACTTTAAGAAGCACTCTGCACAGCTCCAGAAGGATTGGACTTTGTTGGCATCTTTGTGTGATGGAAACAGAGATCGACCAATGAATATAATTTAAATAAAACAACAAAACAAACCAAAGTATTAGGTTTGACCTGTTGATCGTGCTAAGTAAAAGTCCTGAACTTGCCTGAGAGGTAAAAACAAATTCTGATAACACTATCGGCAGAAACATCAAATCCTCAGGATAAAGAAAAGTTATTGAGGCTGATATTTTACAGTTAAGCCATATTCTTTATTATGATAAAGTAAAACTTGAATTACATACAAATGTAAAACTTACTTTAAATGTCAACATGAATGCTCAATACTAACTATACCAAGTGGCAGCGCTCAGTGGAAAGTCACTGGATCACCAAAGTCAATATCTTCTGGTGACCATGAACACCTGTTCCATATGTTGTGGTAATCCATCCCATAACTGTTGAAAACAGTCAGTCTTGACCAAAGTGGTGGACGAACAGACCAACACTGCCATACTTAGAGCCTCACAGCTAGTATGGCTTAATGTTTAGCATTTCCTCCTCACCAGTTTAATGTCTGAATTAAAAGAACTGTGTCCAAAAGATTCTTTAAGTTCCTGAAACTGATTAAGACCCATTCCAGTTTGAGCTTGTCCCTCTGTCTTTGTATTTTTATTATTGGTAAACTAGTTTCTTGCACTTTCCATGTTTACAGCTGAGTGAATGTTATAGTAGAGACTGGAGGTGTGCACTATTCTCCCCATATTTAAACAATTACAAAAAAAACTATGTAGACTGAAGCTGCACTGGTTGGCCGAGAAGTACAACCGCAGTGTGGTCATTGAAGTTTCATTATAAATCAGGTCTATGGGCTGTATAGATACTGTGAACACATCAAAGCTGTCAATCCACCGAGAAATGCCAACAGTTTATATTCAGAAACTGCCATCAGGCATGCCCCCAGAAAGGCCCACCGAAACCTAATGTCCAACTTTATTCCGAATTTATTAACATAACACCAAGCAGTTCAATTCATGCAGTCCCTGAACTTGCAAGTTACAAGACAGAAAAATGACGAGGAATCACTCAACAATCACTGGATCCAAGAGAGCCAATTGTTTCAGTTTTGCCAAGCCGCAGTAGTAGGCTACAGTTGGTTACCTGTGGTTGGCCTGGCTGTGCATCACTCAGAAAACAATCAGCCGCAGCTCCACAGAAAACACTGATAGATGAGAACTCACAACATAAATTTGTTTTTTTGTTTCTCGAAACCACAGATATTTTCTTTTTGATGTCACTTAAAATAAAAAAATTATAAATTATATGTTAAGCAGTTTTGTTTGGGGAAAACTTTCCTGTGTTTAGAGGGTGGTTCACTGAGTTGTTTGTAGAGTTTATCCTCGTTAACGTTGCAGGTTTTTCTTCTTTCTTTTCCTTTTGTGAAGGCACTTACTCAACAAAGAGTCTCCCAGTGCAGTGTTTGTCATCACTCTTGTCCCGCTTGCTCTGTTGTCCTGTCTTAAAGTGTGGCTTGGAGAAAAAGCTTCCTGAACTTCAAAGGTGTAATTACAGAGATGGTGAGCTGAGGGTTTGCCTGCAGCTCTGACAGAGGTAACTCTTTTCTCACCGTGACATGTTTCGAATGGTTACGAGCTGCAGCTGAACACCGGCTGAATGGGCCTGAAATATGTTTTGAAATGTACGATCACATGCTCTCTATTGGAGTGTGTGAACGTAGTTTCGTAAACATGCCGGGAACATGACACTGCAGAGGAGGTGAAGCTGAGGCTCAAGTTACTGCATGCTGCAGTTTGTTCACATTTCAAATGTACATCGCTGCTGCTCCCTGCGCGCCGCTCGTAGGTGTAACTGGCCCATTAAAGCAACCAATTAAATCATGAAAGAACAGAACACCAAGCCCATGGGAGTGGGATCAATAGTTCCTTAGTAACAGTCA